GACAGAAAGATAAAACTCAGGACGTTACCGGGCCTCTTCCAAGTCACTTAGAAATTTGCTTTTTATTAGATCCTCAAAAAATTTTACATAGGGCAGGGATTTACAAAGGTTTTGACAGCGTTTCTGTAAACTTACAGAAAACGAGCTCTATCTCGAAAATTAGGGCTCTATGGAAAGAACCTATTGAAGATTCGGAAACAGCGTAAAAAACTGGTCCAAAAGCGGAGTCTCTCATTACGCGGTGGAAATTTCACTTCGGAACGTTCCCTTGTTAGAAAGGAAATCCATAACTTCACAGTCCCTTTAAAACGATCGGAAGCCCCAGAGAATTGACTGGGACTCGAGCAGCACCAAAAACCGAATCAAGCTCGTTTTTATACCCTAGGGAATTTGCGTAAAACGGATCAAGATTCTTCAATGGGCGTGTTTTAGCTACCCATACCTAGGGCCGATTCTGACGTTTCTGCGTCCGATTAATACCTCCGATTCACGACAATGTAAGCATCAAGTGATGAGCACGGCTAAGGATCTCGACCCAGCCAAAAAACGATGACAACAACCCCGTGTTTTATCCCCCCGTGACACCTAGATTTATGGGGATCCAGGAACATCCGGCTCAAACACACACACCCAGACACACGTGTTTATCTTCGGTGCGCTTACGATTTGGTGACGCTGCGTGATTTAGATTTAGCCCCATGGCGCGGCGGATGGCGCAAATTCTTATGCCGTCCCTCCTTATCCCATGTAAGTGGGCCCTCGAATGGGGATGGTGAATGAACGAATGAATGAGTTGTTTTCCAGCCGGCCGCCTACCCAGGATCGGACCACTGCCAGGCAAGAGACCGGTCTGCAAATGGGAAAAAGCAAAAATAAAGAAGAAATTGGCCGATGGAAAATTCGGCCATGTATCTGGGCCGAGTCGTAATCCCAACGACTAAATTCGACAAATACAGGGCTGCAAATTGCGATTTAAACCTTGGAAAATCCGGCTGACGTATCTGAGCGTAATCATAACCTTAACTAACCGAATTTTTAGAAGATACTTATTTTCAGAAATCCAAATTCCTCAGCGCTGGACCTGACCCCAAAACGTCAAACAAAATCTCAAAAATTCAAGAATTTACGCAACGTTTATTTTTAGGGCTTGAAAATATGCATACGGTATTTTGAGAAATTCGATTTTTCCAAAGCGGCTTTATGCAAATTACAACTGTAGAAATAAGAGTTGTGAGACATGCGGGGCTACAAAAATGGATTTTGAAACATAGGTTGCTCAAAGTCGTTCCTATATAAAACGAGTTACGCCGGTTATATGACACAACCCCTTGATCAGTTAGATCGAAACTCGAAAACATTGTATTCTTGCTCTCATTCTCTTTCCCTTTACAAGTCCATTGGAAAAAATTCTATCTATTCGTATTTTGTGCATTTTTGCATGCAAAACCAAAACCGAATTCCACACCGCCACTAAAACGTAGCCCCCTGAGGCAGCAGGCAAACCACGCGTAAACAATCAGGGAATGCTGCCCCGGGTCCCCGGGAATTGCTACCCCGTAGGGCTGGCCGGAAAAAAGACCGTTTTGGCGAGAAAATTACCATTTTTGGGGCCCCGCCGTACCTAATTTCGGAAATGGCGGCCGGCCGCGCCCACGCAAAAGTTTTTCGCAGCGGGACCCCCAGGGACCCGAGGTCTCGAGAAAAGTGCATAATGGGGCTGGCGTGTAGGAAATTGGCCTGTCATTATTCATAAATTGAAAATGGGGTACGGTAGCGGGGTGGGTGAGTCGGGGCGAAGGTCAAATGTTGCAGAAAATTGGATCGGGGTCAATGGGTTACTGTGGTGGTAAGGTCTGAAAGTATTTTAGAAGTATTTTAGGGGTGGAAAAAATTATTGGTGTCGTGAAATTAACCCTCTAAAGGGTGCTGCCCTTAAAATAATTTAACCCAAGATTTGGAAGAATTAAAGAGGCCAGCCTATTGTTTCCGCGACTTTCCACGAGTTAAAATGACATTTTCAAGCTGCTTTCCGTTACACCTGCGCAGTACTTGCGTGCGTAGGTGTGCAAAAACCGGGCGGCAGCTGATTTCATTCACGAGGATCTTCTGCAGAATCCTGGAAAAACCTTCAAGCAAGGTAATTAGAGGAGCACCTGACAATAATGCAACAAGTATCAGTGGTACAGTAACCAATCAGTGGAACTACAAGCCCGAAAACTCAAACTAAAAAATAGCAACTGAGGTACACACTGAAATTCCCTTGGATCACCGCAAGGATAGACTAGACCGGAAACGCAGCCGAAACGAAAACAACTGTGAAACCAGACGCAACTATCTGAGAAACTAGGATCTGAAATCTTCGAAAACCTCAAGGAGCCGATAAGCTCATTAATCGAGCTCACGAAAACTGACACTCTAACCTAAAAAAAACCAAACTGCCAAGCTGTCAACCCCCAAAATACTTCTAATACGGTTTTGGAATGAGCTTGAGCGGCAAACTTTCCAACAGCTTTAATTTCTCGCCGACCCCACCCCTAGAAAAAAGAAGCAATTCCAGCAATTCCACGAAATGGGTGGGAGGGGCCCTTCGCAACAATGGGCCCCCTGGTATTTTTGGCGGCCCCTCCTCCTCTAGGGGCCCGTGTGTTTGTGGGCAGAAGCCAATTTCAGAAATGGGGTCACCGATGGCAGAAGCGCCGCAGAAGCTTTTCCACCCCAACCCCGCCGCTACTCCCAAAACGTGAGCCCACATCGAGTGCCGGAGAAGGCACGGCCAACACAACACACACAACACACACACATACACCATTGCCTAAAACGGGAAATAATAGGGGGAGGGGCTGCCGAAGCGGAAATTTAATCAAGAGAACAGCCCTCCGGGGGCCCTAGGGCCCAATGGCAACACACGGGCCTTAGGGTCCAATTTTCCGAGCGTGCGCCACTCCTATTTACGCAGAGGGGGGCAACTTGGCGGACCCGCCAAAAAGCGCCTGATGACTTTCGGGTGAAAAAGGTCAGGGGTAATGGGAAAATTTTTCAAATAGAGGCCAGGAATCATCTGAAAAGTTCTGTTGATATTTTTAGAATTCAAAGATGGGTGAATTTATTTTGTTAAAAGAAATGTTCTTAAAAACACATTCAGGCTGAAAGCACTTAGAAAAAACGTCGTTGCAAAGGCAGACCGATCTAACATTTATAACTCTTGCAAAGATAATTAGCGCTCAAAAAAATCTCGATTTGGAGATGAAAGTCCTTGGAAGCTTTTATAATCGTTGAAGCTTTTTAAAACTAGAATGGAAACGTGAAAACCCAACGAAAAAAATAGCAAAAACGTAATTTCACCTCTACGGCGTTAGATACTATATTTATTACTTACTTTCTCAATGACATCTTTTCGTATCTGATCGAATTTAACTATCAAAAAGGGCAGCTTGTTAGACTTGTCTAAATTTTAAATGCTTAGGCAAGTTAACGCCAAGATGAGCTTCCCGGAAAATAAACACAAAAAGTGAGAATGAGTGCTTTTCCGAAAACGGACGAGGAACACCGGAAACTCAAAACTTTAGACAACCCAATGACGGTTTTCCTCTCTAACATCGCTTGAAGTGAAAGTGCGGAAAAGCTCGGCGCGACAGCTGAAAATCGTCGAAAACGAGGGCGAGCAGACAATTCCGAGAATCAAACAAGCAATCAAATAACGTCCGATTTTCTAATTATAGCTCCCAAAAATTACAAAGAAGTAGAAGAAACGGACAACGGGCCCAGGCAGGCAGCAACAAAGTCCTGGCCTGCCCTTGCTCCCCTCCGGCATACACTGCGAGGATGGATGAGCGCCGACCACACCAGCTACACACACGCTCGCTGTCTCTCGCCCATCGCCAGCGTTCAGAGCCGGCCGGCCCCAGGCTCTATCGCTCGCTCCCCGCCACTACTCGCCCCCTGCACGCTGGCCCCCTGGCCACTACGGTAGCGCGTCCAGCAAAAAAAGAATGGCGGTCGACGCCCCCACCCCCGCGAGAACGCAACATCTGGAGCGCCCAGGGAGCAGCACCCCTGGGAAATTGAAGACCACGGCGAGGAAAAGCCCTTTTCCGAACGCCCGCTAATGAAAATTACACTGAACGGGAACGGGAAGAACGGGAAAGGACGCACAAAGATCGAAATGAAAAGTGTGTTCCTGGTACGGGGGTTCGTCTTGCGTGTTTTGTTTGAATTGACGTTGGAAACTAAGGCAAATAATGTAATTTAGCCATCAAAAACCATAATATAAAAAAGAGGAGATCAAGTACCCTCGTCCCATCTGAAAAGTCGCGGATTTTTTGTAAGCTGTGTCGATCTTCGATAACTTATCAGACGCGTCAATAGCAACTGTTTTTGTCGTGAGAAACGAGTAGAGTAGGCGACATTAGGAGGGTTAGGAAATCGGCAGAAATTATATGGGGACCTTTGAACTCTGTAGACTAAAATAGTTTTATTTTATTGATATTATTTGTTTTTCCATTTTTTTATATCTGTGGATGTTGAGAAGGATACTGGCTAAACGACAAAAAATGTAACAACACGTTATTTTAATAGGAGTCTAATATGCAAAAATTATATTTTCAGAATTTTTAAAAATGTAACTTTTCCACGGGTGTGTTTGAAAATTCATTCAATTCTGTCAGCCCATCGTTTTTCAATGCTTATATAGGGCAATAAAGCAGCCTCCGGTAAATTTTATTAAAACTATTTTGCTATTTTTAAACAACAAAAATAAGGAGAAAAATTGGCAAAAACCGCAATTTTGTGCTTTTTTCTTCGGCTCTTGTTTGTTGTCGCCTAAAGCGTGCCCTTGCGACCGTGGCCAAATCGGGTTTCACGGGCGGCTCCATCTTCACTGGCCATCAAAGTCTATGGCCTGATCGTTTGTTTGTACCTTTTCAAGGCGTTTTTACTAAATTTTTCGGTATTTTTTATTTTAAATAATAGCTAAAAGTAATGACAATTTTTCAGGGTACACCATGAGCCTGTCCCGAGCTGCCTGGCCCACCACGAAGCGCCACGTTTTCGGCGTCTTCTCGCGGGCTTACAGCTCCACCCAAGGTTTGCCTGAGAATTTTAAAATTATCTGTTTTTCTAGATGCCGACCTCGTCGTCATTGGCGCCGGCCCGGGCGGCTACGTGGCTGCGATCAAAGCGGCTCAACTGGGCATGAAGGTAGCATTCTCCCAAAAAAAACCCTATTTTTTTAGACTATCTGCATCGAGAAGGAGGCCACCCTTGGCGGCACCTGCTTGAACGTCGGCTGCATCCCGTCCAAGTCGCTGCTCAACAACTCGCATTTCTACCACATGGCCAAGCACGGCGATTTGGCGAGCCGAGGTGCGAAGCTGGTTCTTTTGAAGCTAAAAACCAATTGCGCCTTCATTAAATAGATTTATTAACATTTTATCCTTGTTTTTCAGGAGTTGAGGTCGAGACAAAGCTGAACCTGCCGAAGATGTTGGCCGCCAAGGAGGGATCCGTCAAAGCGCTCACCGGAGGTATTGCCCAGCTCTTCAAGGCCAACAAGGTCGGACACATCAATGGACACGGAACGATCACTGGACAGAATCAGGTAGCTTTAAAAATATTGAATTTTTATTTTTATTTTGTTTCCAGGTTACCGTCAAGAAGAACGACGGCTCGAGCGAGGTGGTGAACACGCGCAACATTCTTATCGCTTCCGGATCGGAGGTTTGAAATTTTAGCACTCTTTTGGGCCGTAGACATGCGGCGGTTTTTGATTATCTTTATTTGATTTTTAGGTCACGCCCTTCCCCGGAATTACGATCGACGAAAAGACCATTGTTTCTTCTACCGGAGCCCTTTCCCTGAAGGAGGTCCCCAAAAAGATGATTGTTATCGGAGCCGGTGTCATTGGACTTGAATTGGTATTTTACGCCTCGTAATTTTCACTCCCGTTTTTAGGGATCGGTCTGGCAACGATTGGGAGCCGAGGTGACGGCCATCGAATTTTTGGGCAGCATTGGAGGAGCCGGCATTGACCAGGAGGTCGCTAAGAATTTCCAGGTTCGTTTTTCAGTCGTGGAAAAGTTTGGCTTATCCCATTTTAGAATTTTGTCAGTTATTCAATATTTCTTTTCAGCGCTCCCTCACCAAACAGGGCTTCAAGTTCAAGCTGAACACGAAGGTGATGGGCGCCACGCAAAACGGCAGCGAAATCAGCGTCGACATCGAGGGCGCCAAGGACGGCAAGAAGGAGCAGGTCTGTTTATGGAAAAAAAAGAATTTTTCATTTTGACGACACCTTGATTAATTGGATTTTTCAGCTCTCTTGCGACGTGCTCCTCGTCTCTGTCGGCCGACGCCCGTACACGAACAACCTCGGCCTCGACTCGGTCGGCTTGACCCTGGACAACCGAGGTAAACTATTTTTTTGGCAGCGAAAAATTCTGGTTTAGGCCGAATCCCCGTCAACGAGCGCTTCCAGTCGAAGGTGCCGTCGATCTACGCCATCGGCGACGTCATCGAGGGCCCGATGCTTGCGCACAAGGCCGAAGATGAAGGTATCGATTTTTTTAGTTTAACAAAGATGGGCTAGTTTTAAAGACGCCGTATTTTATTGCTCGGCTTATATAGTTCTATACGAAAAAAAGTAGGTTTCGGCTGCCGATAGCGCTAAAATAATTAGATATTTCAAAAAAACTAGCCCATACGATAAATTTTGAAAAACTTACGGGATCTAAAAATTTTTTTTTAGGAATTCTCGCTGTCGAGGGTATCGCAGGCGGTGCCGTGCACATTGATTACAACTGCATCCCGTCCGTCGTCTACACCCACCCCGAGGTCGCCTGGGTCGGCAAGGCCGAGGAGCAGCTGAAGAGCGAGGTTTGTCGTTTTCTCGTAAAACCTTTACTCTAAATTTTAGGGAGTCGAGTACAAGGTCGGCAAATTCCCGTTCGTCGCCAACTCCCGCGCCAAGACCAACAACGACCAGGTAAACATCAATTTTTGCTACAGTTTCCTGCCTTTTAGGAGGGCTTCGTGAAGGTGCTGGCCAACAAGCAGACCGACCGTCTGCTCGGCGTGCACATCATTGGGCCGGTGAGGAATTTAGTTAGATTCGAAATTTTGGTTTTTTTTCAGAATGCCGGTGAAATGATCGCCGAGGCGACGCTGGCTTTGGAGTACGGCGCGAGCGCTGAGGATATCGCCCGCGTCTGCCATCCCCACCCGGTAAGCTTTATCTCCATTTTTAGCTATTCTCGCTCTGGCGAACAATACAAGGTTTTCTATTGCTGTCATCGGGGCGAAAAACTTGAAATCTGAAGAAGCCCGCTATTTCCTTTTTACGAAAAAGTACACACTTCAAATTCACGGGAAAGTTTTTTGCGGACCTATGGCCTTTATGAAAACGCATCAGAATGTGTTTCTATGTCCACCAAAACTTGGTATTCTACGAGGTTTTTCGATGGGGGACCGTTTACGTAATAATAATAGGTACGATCGACGATTTTAGAGAAAAAAATGGTTGCACCTTTTTGGCCAGAGCTGTTCTGAAAATTTTGAAACCGTTTTCGGAATCAGCAAAAAATTCTGCGCACGATATAGTTTTTCTTAAATTTAATAGACAGTATTCTAACTATAAATTTCGTTTCCAGACGCTCTCCGAGGCCTTCAGGGAAGCCAACTTGGCCGCCTACTGCGGCAAGGCGATCAACAGCGTCTAAGCAACATACTCGACAATTCCCGCCCCGGCTCCGAATCGATTGCCTTTTCGTCGTTATCACAGCAATTTAGTCAATCTCCGCCCTCCCGCACGTTGTTCCGGTTGTTTTCTTAGATCCACAATTTTTCGTCTAAACAACCCGTTGCTCGATTGCTCTCGATGTGCCCCTTCTGTTTTTATCCTTTTAGTGATATTATCTATTTGTGTTTTCTAGGCGACTCCTCCCCGTGGTAGTGTTGAGCATATAGTCAGTCAGTGGTTCTCCTCTCTCCTCTCTCCGTCGCAACTTCCGTTTAAAGAGACTTGTTATGTATTCCCCGTCGTCGTCGTGTCGTCCCCTCTGGTTTCTTACTTGCGCCTCCTGCGATTTCTGCTGGCCCTCCATGCCGGCCGGCTTTAATAGATAAATTTTTGCAGTTTAGGATGAGCATACGGTTTTTTTTGTTGGCACTCCATGATACAGCAACGGGCACGATACAGTAACGTGTTCCGACGCCTAGAACGTGCCCTACTTCCGCGCGGAGAATTCCGTTTTCAAGTCTGGACTTGTAAATGAGGGTACGCCGCGCGCTTTTTAAGTGTTTCGTTATTTTTTACTGTAAATTAACAATTTTTACTCTTTGCTGGGCTACTTTTGCCATCCCCTCGTTTCTTTTTGAGTTTAGCATTCTTTTAATCGAGTTTTGCTATAGAAGAAAGAAAGAAGAAGCAATTTTAGCGCAATTTTCCTGTTCGATCTATCGCGCCGCTCGTTTTACATGTTTCGTTCTATTTTACTTCTTTTTAGCTACTTCAGCGATCCTCTAGTTCCGTTTAGAATTTATCATCACTCTTTTCACTTAGGTTTGCTACCTAGCAATTTTTTCATAGTCTTTTACCTTTGTGATTCCTAACTTTTGTTTGATTTGCTGGTTCATCCCTTCTTGACTCCTTTTAGAACTTCTTTAGTGCTTCTCTCGCTCTTTTTTTTTTCGTTTTGCCCTCTTTTCATCGACTTTCACCGATACACAAGTGTTCCACAATGTTTTCGCTTTTGATATCTTTATTTATCTTTACTTTCCAGGTCCAGCGATGCTGCTGAAATGTTTTAACTGCCCTGAATGCAAGAAGCCCTTCGATTGCCAAACTGGCAAGGCGCACACGCCAATGACCACGCCGATCGTCAAATGCTCAACCTGCGTCCGCAACAAAAAAGCGAAGCCCTTTGTCGCTCTGATCAATTTCCTCACGCAGCCCGGGCTCAAGCTACGCCTTCGACGTGGCTGGGTGTCCGAGGCGGCCGTCAAGCTGCCGGAATGTTCCGTTTGCGAGGAGGACCTCAATACCACTGCGCGCGCCTATTACCACGGATGCGGCCAGATTCGTTGCTACAAATGCAAGGAGGCTGGCACGGAGTGCTATGCAGAACGACAAGATGATGCCGTGCAAAACCAACCAGACGCTCTCCGCAGGAGCAGAACAACAACTCACAGGAGACGGATCCGGACGTTAAAGGGATGGATGTATTCGACAATGAAAGCGGTGATGAGTATTCGGACGCTCAGCCGATCATCAAGTCCGCCGACAACGACACAACGTTTCCCCACAATGACAACTCACTGCCCGTCAATGGCGGCGATCTGTGTGGCGCTGACGACCCTCGCTGGTACCGTTGCGACGTCCTGACGCAGTTCTTTGAAAGTAAGAAACTTTTATTAAGTTGGTCATTTTACAACTGTTGTAGTGCTAGGTGGCAAACTTCTTTAGTTCGAACGTTCGAGGAAATTTGTGGAGCTCGCGTCGTCGAACCAATTTTTGGGTTCGAGCACGCTTAGAAAGTATTTTTAAACGGGCTTTACTTACGTAGTAAACCTACAGTTGAGGACTCAACATAGTAAAAGGACAAAATTGAGTTATTGATTCTTAGTAGCATCGTTAACGCGTAAACTGTTAATTTTAGCTATGTAATACCCTTAACGCCTGCAAGGGTAGCATTTGGTTACAGTGTATAGTTCATCACAGCGCGTTTACAAAGCTTCTTCAGTTGCGCAAACTTTACAAATTTTCTGGAACGCCTGAGCGCTCTTGCTTTACAACTCATTTTAAAATTCTACAATATGTGCACCGTCTCCATTCTGTGATTCTTTTTACTGTTTTTTTACGTTGCTTGCCAACGGCGCTCCACGCGCATGATAAATAAATAAATAACTTTGCCGAAACGCACGAATTATGCATACAAGTGGCCGCGCTAAGCTTCCAAAACTTTTACATTGATCTAATTTGCTTTTTTTCAGCGTACTTCATGGGAGTCGGCGCCAGGCAAGAGGAGAACGACGCCCGTGCTCGCGAGAAGAAAGGTTTCCTGAAGGTGTGCGAGACGTGTGACGTGGAAGAGCCGGTGGACAACATGCTGTACTGCAACGAGTGTAAGCAAACGATTTGCGGGGTGTGCTGCCATGATGCCCACTCGCATCACGAGGCCGTCAAGTTGTTCAAGAGAGAGCTACGGACGCTGATGATAGTCACGGAAAGCGAACTCAACAACGAGCTTCGCCACCTGCCAGCGGCTGGGAAGAAGATTTATGAAAAGTTCGAGAATGCGCTCGAGAAAGTCATTGCCGCTTCTACGGACCGCGCCCTGCAGCTGCCAAACATGGATCGTTTTGTGGCGGCCAAGCGCTCATTTAACATAATCGAAAAGGATGTGCATGAGACTGTCCAGCTCTACAAGCGCTTTAAAGAGTTCGCCGAGGAATATACGGACAAGCTGAATAAGATGGCGCGTGAGTTGGAACCGGAGGATCGCCCGACGACCTCGCGAGCCTCCCAGCGCCAATAATAAGTTGCAATTACATTTTGCACATTGGCCAATATTTGTTGCTCGATTAATAATTTGTTATGCTTTGATGAATGAATGCACCTGTTGTTTGAGGACGGCATTTTGAGCAGAGACAGCAGAGTTTAGACAGAAAATTGCTGCCTGCTTTAACGTTGTTGAGATAACGCTTTTACCGGCGGAAGACAATCCTCGAGCTGCGCTTCTTTCAAACGTGTTCTTGTTGAAATCTTGCAGATTCAGCCCCGTCCAACGTGGAATGGCTGATTTGTTGACGAGTTTTCGTGGAATTGCGAGTATTTGGGTGGCAAATCTTGAATTTTTGATGCGTGACTAGTTTGGCGCGGTTTTGAATATGATGTAGTTGGCTATTTTCGTCCGATTTCTGAATTTTGAAGCCAAGCCTAGGATGAGAAACGAAGAGTTTTTAATAGTGGAAAACCCAAGTTCTATCGCATTATCGGGGGGGGGGGGCAATTTTTTATTCGGATCTAATTTTTGAAATATAAACCGTCGAGGTGTTTCTAATGGGATTTTTACTATTCCTAAACGTAAAAAATTTATAAAATTACAAAAAATATCGATTTTTCGACCAAAATTTCTGCTTTTTTAAAGTTTTTAGATAGTTTTTCTAATTGAAATATTTTTACTTATTACTAAAAAAAAACACTTGCAAACACTTTCTATTAATTTCCTAGGTGTTCCTAGATTTGTATAACAAGGTTCGCCCCCTCCCCCGATAATGCGAAAAACCTTTCAAAAAATTTTCATTTGTCTAGCCGATTTTCTTTTTATTGCATGGCCCTTTTTGCGTTCCTCCAGATTTCCAAAAACATGGCATCCATTAGCCATCCCCCGGGGCATCAATTTCAATGACCGTTTCGCGAAATGGGGCCACGGCGGGCGGGGGAAATTCTGAAATTAGAGGCCCCGAGACATTCACGATGAAGCGGGCGAGAACACGCCAAGTAGAGAAAAACAACGCCTTTTCCGCGAACGAGGGGGCGTGTGCCGCGCTGTGGGCTATCGATCGCCGGCGACGTCATCCGGGGTGGGCCCTCTCGTGGGGGCCCGCCGAGGCCCATCCACGGGTTCCCCTAGGCCCCACTCCTAATGGCGGCCCGAATGAGGTGCGGCCGCACCCTCCCGCTACTCCTCGTGCCGCTGCTGGCCGCCCTAGCCGCCGCAGCGCCCACTCAACCAGATGAATGGAAACAGTAAGTTGCGGGGGTGGTTTTTGTATACTTTTCGCGGGGCTTCATGTGATGAAGCCTGTTGGTTTTTGGTTTGAAAAAATAGGGTTTTAACTTAGTTTTCCCGCATGTCCTTGAGATCGAGCTACGCGATTTTCGCGGAAAACGCCAGTTATAATTCTTGCTAGATTTGACTAAAGTCCGAGCTTTATTCGATTTGCCTTTTTTGCCCTTTTCGGTTTTCCTCGGAGCTTTTCAAACCCTGGAAGGTTTTCTAGTTACTTGAAGCGCCCTTTTCAAGTTTTTTTTCGTTTCAGATTGAGTGGCTTCTTAGTATGACTTAATTAGATTCTTAGAGGTATTAGTATAGGTTTTGGAGTTTGAAAATTTTTTTGATTAGGTTTTCGTCGGAGTTGATGTTTGAACATTCCGTTTTATCCGAGTTTTTACGAGGTTTTCTAGGGGGTTTGTGTCGGAAAAACCAGGTTCTGGCGTTAGTTTAATAACGGATATACTTTGTAGTTCCTCTAGGCCAAATTTTGTAAAGCTTTTTAAGGGTTTTTCATTGATTTTTTTTTGCTTTTCCGGGGCGTTAGTTTGGTACGATTATGTGGTAGATTTTTACGCTGCCTTCTATTCCATTCCATCTAGAAGTCTCCGACTTTATTTCGGAGCTGTGTTTGTACGAAAGGTTGTGGATATTACCACTATATTTATCAGAATTATCCGTTGTCTCAATCTTTGACCTCCCATCCCAACCACCCCAAAAATGCGACTTCTCCCCGAGCCGGAGCACATCCATAGAATATTTGACGTTCGTCACGCCGCATACTGATTAGTGAGGTGGCCTGCCGAAAAAGGGCAAGGAGCGGCGCGGAAGTGGAATTGTCTTGTCCTGAACATTCTCCGTGTTTCTTCTCTCCGGAATGCCCTGATTCTCCCCGCGCTTCATTAGGCCAGCGGGAGCGCGAGACTCCTCGCACGTCCCTCTCCCCTGATTGGCTGTGATTCGGCATTCAGAATTCTTTCAGAAAATTCTGAATTCGGAGAAGGAGCTGTTTTGAAGCTAGCTGGCTTGAAAATTGAGGCTAAAAATGGCAGCTTTGATTTTGGCTTTAAGAAAGATATTTTGAGTTTCTTGAGGCTTCGTTTTGGACCTAAAACGTGGCGTGGTCTTGGCATCACTTTTGTTTTGATAAGAAAAGGATTTTTTGATTAATAATTCCAGTTTTTCCAGGTGTTCTGGGAAATATAAAAAATTTTTGAGAGTGCAAAAGTGAGCACGAACTCGTTTTTTAATTAAATACCTTACAAATCGGATGAGAACATTTGGAGTGTCCAAGAAATTTCTTGTTTTCAAGGTCTGTCTAAGGTAGCGCAGAGCTTGAAAGTAGCAAGAAGACCCCGCCGACCTTATCGAAAATGCAAGAAGCGTGGAAGGGGGAGGAGGAGCGCGACTTCTAGAATTGCGCCTAAGCTGGAGGTATTTTTAGAGTTTTTAAGGGATTTTCAAGGATCCAACTAGCCAATTAAAGGGCAAACAAATTTATTGGTATCTGGCACAAATTTGTTTGTATTTCTATTCATATCTTTTTGCTTTCTCTACCTACTCAAAAAGCCAAGCGCCAGGGGGGGGGGCCCTGAAATCACCGGAAGCGGGCGTTCTAGGTTGGCCCTCAAGGCCTATTGCTGTTCCTAGGACCCTAGAAAATAGGCTACACTACAAGAGACACCAAACAACACTTTTTTCCAGGTACCACTCCCACGAGGCGCTGACCGAGAAGTTGACCGAGATCAACGAGAAATGCCCAGATGTGAGTTGAGTTTGAATTTGAGAAAGGGAGAGAGAGAGAGAGAGAGAGAGAGAGAGAGAGAGAGAGCGAGAGAGAGAGGGAGAGAGCGAGAGGGAGAGAGAGAGAAAATTAAGTCCCATGTTTTAGATCAGCACTGTCTACTCCATCGGCCAATCTGTCGAAGGCCGCGAGCTTTTGGTCATCCACTTTTCTTCTACCCCCGGATCGCACGAAATTTGTAAGTGCTTTTTCTGCGCGCTTTTTGATGCCAAAATTACGGCTTGACGTACGTAATTTTTGGGGTTTTATACTTGCTATTTCTTGCCCTCCAGTGAACGAGTTAGCATGTGAAATTCTCCTTTCCTTTCCTTTGGCAATGTCGAACGAGCAGGAGAAAGAGAGAGAGAGAGAGAGAGAGAGAGAGAGAGAGAGAAAGAGAGAGCGAGAGAGAGAGAGTAAGAGAGAGATTGTAATTCCACCCGCTGAGATTTTAGCCTTTAAAAATGACATTTCCAATCCTTGTTTTCCTCCAGACTCAAGCTCAATTTTTTCAGTGAAACCCGAGATGAAATACGTCGGCAATATGCACGGAAATGAGCCCGTCGGACGGGAATTGATCATCCGGTAGGTCTCGTGACAGAGAGGGAAAGTTAAGATTGATTTTTGAAGCAGAAAAGTGTGGTAAATGGCTTTATAATATACGAAATGTCTTGCTCATTTTTTCTACTGATCACCGGCTTTCAGATTGGCCGACGAGCTGTGCAACGGCTTCAAGAACAAGGACAAGGAGATCATCTCCCTCCTCAACTCCACCTCCATCCACCTCCTGCCCTCGATGAATCCCGACGGTTTCGAGCTGGCCCTGGAGACGGTGAGTTCACTCTAGGATACCGATACGCTAAACGAAGACAAATTGATTTGCATTGATTTTCAAAACAATTTGTAATTTATTTTGAAGAACAAAAGTTAGATAAAATAAAAAAGTGCTTTAACTTAACTTTAACTAAAATTTAACTTTATTTCCAAAACATCACCAAACCGTAAAAAAGCACAATTTTTCATCCGGTATGTTAATATTCGATAAATTGCTTGTTTTTAAAACCTATTTCCACTTTCAGCCCGCCGCCGAGCGCCAGTGGCTGACCGGCCGCGCCAACGCCAACGGGCTGGACTTGAACAGGTGAAAATTCTAAAAACCAGGCGTCTAGTCGTCATCTTGTTATCACGATCCCAATCCTAAGTAATCCGAATATTTTTGCCGGCATCATTATGCAGGCGAAAATTCAGATAATCCGCCGCGGAAAAAAGGGACCGGAAAGGGCAATTTCCGGTTGGTGGAGAAGGCGCGAGATGTTGGGTGGTGTCTATAAAATAATCCAATTCCAAACGCCACTCGGCCTGGGGGGGGGATTTCATTAGGCGGCTGATTTGGGGGATGTTGGAGAGGCACGATCAAAAAAGAAGAGAAGAAATAAGTTGTGCCTGACCTGTTCAAGGAAACGTAACCGCAGTTTTTATTCAACGAAATAAATAAATAAAAAAAGCTCTTTGAAAAGCTATAAAAATATTTGGTGGATTAGCTAAAAGCGCTATTTCCAAGCGAAAATAATCAAAAATCTGGGAATGCCGTTACCTAGAAGAAACTTGAAGCTTACGTGACGCTCCTATGCACAACCAAATCCGGTGTTTTTGCACATTGTTAGGACGTTTTTGGAATTGTGCTTCAGCAAAAAATATTTCTCGAGAGCTCCAGCGTCGAAACTTCACTTGTCTGATGCTTCTTTAAAGCTTTTCGGGGTTACCGCTACGCAAAGCTACCCTGAACGCCTGTATCTTGTGCTCCCTAAGGTATTACCCATCCATCGCCCTGAAAATGTTACGATACCTTGAATAGGAGGCTTTATACGCTTTATCTCAAACCGGCTTTCAGAGACTTCCCCGACCTTGATGGCGTCTTCTACGCCCTCGAGGAGCGCAAGGTGCCCAAGTTCGACCACCTGATGGAGCTGTTCGACGAGAGCAAGGAGGTTTGGGCTTATGGACGTCTTGAAAGGCTGATTTCGAAACAATCTGTCCTTAACGCGTATTAATGCAAATTTTCAGCGCCAGCCCGAAACCGTGGCCGTCGGCCGATGGATCCTGTCGTTGCCGTGGGTCCTCTCTGCCAATCTGCACGAGGGAGACCTTGTAAGTTGGCTTGGCTGAAAAGCTTCGTCGTAGAAATTGATTTAAGACGCATTCTTTAGCCCTGAGACTACAAGTTACAAATTACAGAACGGCGAATTTGAGCTTTCTAGGTCGCCAACTACCCCTTCGACGCGACCCCGAATGAGGCCCCGTCCAAGTACAGCGCTTCCCCCGATGACGGAACTTTCCGGTGAGTCGGGCACTTGAAGACAATTTTTTATTTTTAAATTTTACTAATAAGAATTGAGAAAGAAAACTTTCGAAAGTGTAAGCGCATTGATGTAATCCTTGTTCAGTTGGTTGGCCCAGACCTACGCCCAGGCCCACGCACACATGGCCAAGAACGACCACCCGCCGTGCGATGGAACGACCCGGGATGCTTTTGCCCAAAATGGTACAAATTTTCGACGTTTTAAAGGGATGGTGACACTTGCGAGATATCGATACTTAATACTAATACCTAACCAGTATCGGGTGGCGATCACTATCAGGGTACCTTGCAAAGCAAAAAGTCAAGTTTTTCCCCCGTAGTTTGGACTTGCGCGTAGCTGTCGTGACCTAGGAGATACAGAGGGTTGATTTGGGCACTGTTTTGTGTAGTAATTACGTATATAAATTCTGAGAAACCTTAAAATAAGCATAAATCTCTGTTCAGGTGGTATCACCAACGGAGCCAAGTGGTACTCGGTTGCCGGAGGCATGCAGGACTTCAACTACCTCGCCACCAACGCCATGGAGGTTCGTCTCTCTCTCTCTCGCTCTTTCTCTCTCTCTCGCTCTCTCTCTCTGACCTATTCTTTTTCAGATCACCCTCGAGCTGTCTTGCGAGAAGATGCCCGCCGGCGCCACCCTACCTCAACTCTGGGAGGACAACAAGAAGGCCATGTTCGAGTATATGTGGAAGGTAAGTTGTTATATCAACACGTTATAAAAAAGTCGCAAAAAGAATACATCGAACCTGGATTCTAAATATTTTACGAGTCCTAATTTTCGAAGTCTGGTTCCTAAGCGACCAAATTTTTGCTTCTAAGTGACTTCCTTTTTTGGGGTCTGCTCCTTTGTGACCAGAATTCGACCAAATTTAAGGAAAGTGAAATAACTATCAACGTTTTAGATCCACTCCGGAGTGAAGGGCGAGATCACCGATGCCACCACCGGTGAACCCGTTGCTGACGCCGCTATCTGGGTGATGAACGGAACCGCCACGCTCCCGATCAAGCACGCCGTCAAGACCAGTAAGTTTGCGAGAGTGAGAGAGAGAGAGAGCGAGAGAGAGTGAAACGGGAACGAGATGCAACGAACTATTTTCAAGGCGAGACCGGCGAGTACTACCGGCTGCTCCCCGTCGGAACCTACGAGCTGCTCGTTGAGGCTGACGGCTACGAGATGGCCCGAAAGAACGTAAGATCTACTCGATGCTTTGACCTCAATTTTTTAGGTGACCGTTACCAACAAGGTCCGCGACCAGGCCATGCTCGTCAACTTTGCCCTGGTGCCGGAAGAGGCCAGTGAGCCAGTGATGGATGAGCTTCAGCTTGATCAGGTAGAGGACCATTAAAGGGCCGCTGAAGTCAGACTCTTGAAGAATTTAAACGTATCTACGTCATAAATTAGTGGTGCTCAAACAGCCTGTACCAAACTCAAGGTTTTGTCTGCTTTTAGACTAGCTCCGATATAAGGTCTTAATGATCTACACTCAAAAAATAAGGATTTATTTTTCAGGAGCTTGAGGAGCTGCCGCTGAACCTCCCGGAGAACATGTCGCCCTTCCTTCTCTAAATCGATTCATTTTCTGCTATTTTAGGTGAGTTTATAACGAGAGAGAGAGGGAGAGAGAGAGAGAGAGGGCCAGATAGAGAGAGAGAGCGAGAGAGAGAGAGAGAGGGACAGGGAAAGAGAGAGGGAGCGAGTGAGAGAGCGTTAGCGAGGAGAACGAGGAGCGAGAGCGACCGAGAGATAATTAGAGAGCGAGAGAGAGACGAGGGAGAGAGAGAGAGAGAAGAGCGAGAGCGAGTGGATTAGGGAGCAAGAGCCAGAAACGGAAAAATTCAAAGTCCGCTTCAGACCGGTGACGACGAACATTTCTATCCTCCCCACCTCCCCCACCCCTGTAGCCGATGCCCCGTCCTCGGACCGTACGTGTATCGAAATAGGCAGAGGCGATGATTGGGCATTAAAGCTGTATATTTTACTATGCATCTCTGCGCTTTATTTTCTCTCGCCCATCCCCATACTGTATTCTTGTGATCTCTGGCCTCTCTGGAATCGCCCACTCCCTTCTCCCCTCTCCCTCCCTCCTTATGAATGGCTGACGAGGAACTCGGTGAACACAATAAATGTTGCAAGTAGTCGGATTTTGAACTACAAAATACGATAATTCTAAGGCTACGAACTACAGCTTTTGACAGGCGTATTGACGCATTAAGGAGAGCTTCTACAAAATAGCGCTAGAATCGGAAACTTTGGATGTAAATTCGATGAAATCCAAAATTCTTTTGCGCATTTTTTGACACTTATTGCTGGAAATGACCTTTAAAAACAATGGTTAGTAAGAATTAGCTATTTGCGGCTTGCTTATTCGATTTCTAGGTAGTTTTCGTCATGTCTGCGTGCCTTTTTGAAAACCATTTCGAGCAAAAGAGATTTTGAACCCGGAAACCGGGATTAAACAAAAAGACATTGCCGAAATCCAATATCCGACTGCATAAACAATAGCGACATATAAAGGAAAAAGTGGAAACCCGATCCTCGCCAACATTTTCGATGCAGAATCCAGAATGCGCCGCGGAGGGCTCAAGGTGTTCTGTTCGATTGGAGAAGGATTTGGCAACCGTCTTGTTTTTTTAGATTCATTTATTGGTATCCTAACACCGGAAAGTTTTATAAACGGCTAGCCATTTTAATTTTAGCAGCTTAGCGATCGCCGCAGCGAATGTCGTACGAAATCGAGCATAATGATCTTTTGGGACATTTTTTAGAGGTGTCAGAGATATCAGAGAGGGCAGATGAAGCCCGGCAGTTATGAAAATTGCAAATTAAAGTGAATTAAATATTTTCCGGGATTTATTGACCTCATTAAAGCAAAAATTAACTTTATCTTTAGATGTTGCGAGTTAATAGTTATTGAAAAACTTTCAAGGACGTCAGCTCGATGCAAATAATTTTTAAACCTGTAGTCGTTTTAGCACCGGACGAACAAAATCAAATTCAACGGAATCGAAAACTTGTTTTTTTTTTTTGCGTAAATTTCCATGCCGAAAGTCTCCCCTTTCAATTCTGGCCACCTCTAGCAAGACATTTGGGGCGGCGGAAAGCAAATGTTGCCTCCTGAGTCACCGTAAGGGTGGAAATGGGCAAGGGCGAGGGCGAAGGCAAGCATTTTTTTTGGTTTTTTCGGCCTTTTTCGTCTCTCCCATGCCCCGATCCTCCGAATGGTCCTCCTTATTGAGGAGCCCCCTCCTCCGATGTGTGTGTGGCTATTGAAATCGCCTGAACCGGAGGGCCGAGGGGCTATCCCACGTTGCCATTTTCTCGTCAAATTCTTTTTTTCGACGTGTTTTTTGGGTCACTCGTTCCGTTCGGGGGGTCCCGGCGGGATCGGGCGGGAGATTTTATCGGGCAAAACAGAATCTAGTCTTATTTCGGTTATTTTAAGCCTTGACCATTACAATTGTAATGAAACTAAATTAATTGTTCTTGAATTCAAAGCCTCTAAAAATTGCTAAAAAGCCTCGGAAAACGAGCTGGGTTGTTTATCCGGCAGCATCTGGCCGATCAGCTGGTCGGAAGCTTCCAGGTTTATATTTAAAAAAAAAAAAAAAAACAAAAAAAAAAAAAAAAAAAAAAAAAAATTAAAAAAAATTTAAAAAAAAAAAAATTTTTAAAAATTTTATTTTTTATAATTAAAAAAATATTAAATTTTATTTAAATTAAAAAAAATTTCCAAAAACAAAAAAAAAAAAAAAATTTTTATAAAAACTTTTTTTTTTTTTCAAAAAATTTTTTAAAAAAAAATAAATTTTAAAATTTTAATTTAAATTTACAAAAAAATAAAAAAAAAAAAAAAAAAAAAAAAATTAAAAAAAAAAAAAATTTATTTTAAATCCAAAAGGATTTAATTTATGTGAAAAAGCATCCTGCTATTTTATTTAGGAGCCTTAGTAGCAATTTGCAGGCTTCCCGTCGAACTAGGTACAGACTATTTTACAACACGACAGATCCGGTAAACACGAGAATTTTTAAAATGCACCAGAAGCAAAAATTTTGCAAAAGCTAGGGGATCGCTCAATAGCTAATTTTTCGCCAAGCCTTCCGAATTTTCGATCTCCGCCGATCTTATGTTCATTCTTGAAATTCAGCAAGGTTTTTTTAAAAAGTTTATTCCATCATTAGTCCGGGACAGATTTACAGATTCGTCCAGAAGCCGGGGGTCAAAGATTCAGGTCGCTAAAAAGCTGGTGACTGATAAGAACGCGACAACGTGCGGAATTTTTATGGCCTATTCGGCATCCGGCTCATTTTTTATATTATTTTAGTTTACCACTTGATCCTAGTTCACTTAGCTTACGATTAAAGTTATATAAAAATTAACCGCCCTGGAATTCGTCGGGAACCTTCATTTAAGAGTTGTCCGTAGAGGTGCAATGGGACTTTTTGGGGCCCCCATTTTTTGGTTTGTTCCTTCTCTCTCTCTCTCTCTCTCTCTCTCTCTCTCTCTCTCTCGCCTCTATTTGAAGATTAGCTTACCCTCCCGGCTGCCAACCTCTCCCTCCAAATACCCTCGGCAGTCAAAAGCAGTCAAGAGATGGGCTTAGAGATTTTGAGTTAAGTGTTTTTCATGAGGGGCGTTCGTTTTTGGATGGTAGCGGAACTTTCGGAGCGTTATAACGCTATTTTCAAGCTTTAACATCACTATCTCTATTTTATTCAACACTTTTATTCCCCCAAATTCGGGATTTATTAGGGTTTCCTATGTGAGACATTATCTTAATTTTCTTGCCTCTTCCAGCTCAGCATTCCCGAAATTTTCTGTTTACCCAGCTGATTCATCGCCCCGAAAAAAACCCTGAAATCCCACAGGTTTCAAACCAGCAACCCCAAAAAAAAGAACAGCTGGCGCGCGGCGAGGATACCCGGAAAACTTTGGCGGGCCCCCGGAATTTATGACTAGCCATTTTTCAAGAATTCCTTCTTGACGCGCACATCTCTTTGGCTGACCAGACTTCGGGCTGAGCTTCGGTTAGGGATTTTTTAATTTTAGTATTGTTCTTTCACTAAAAACATTTTGATTTTGGAGAATTCAATAGGTCGAAAAGCAGATTTGTTGGGTATCTTGGTCATCATTTAATTGTGACATCGTTTGCGTAGCTGGCTAGAACACAAGAATTATCGCTTAGAAAATTTTGCCGCTCCGAAAAGGGTCGAGAATCACGAGAATCGAGCCACTTACCGACTAGGTATCGACAGCTGCGCGCCATTTCCAATTCCGCGTCAAAATTCAACCTAAACTGTCCAGGAAAACGTTGCTTTTGTGACTTTGGCGTAGTATGTAGCTGTCGAGACCTAGTCGTGGGTAGGGGTCGATTCTTGGTCTTTCTTTTCCCTTTAAAGGTAAGGCCTGGTTTTTGGATCACTATCGATTCGGTTTTTTGACTGCTGTTTTTGTGGATTTTTCTAAAAAGAGTCCATAGCTGACAAATTCCATAGTTCTTCCTTGCACGTCCCTTTAAAACAATTGATCCTGCCATCAGAATTCGCCAAGTGTTATCCGGAAACTTGTAAATTCACAATCACCGTTTTAGCACAATTTTTCGCATGTCTCATCTCCCCTGCCTTCAAGCCCTCTCGAAAATGACTAACGCCCAAAAAACGGCCACAAATGTCAAAAGTTTTGTCTGCGGAATGTGCCCACGCCCTGTCTGTATTCCCCCTTTTTTGCTTTCCCTTGACAGCCAGGGGCCACGTGTTTTTAAGCGCCTCCGCACCGTTCCTCCGAACGGTTTTGCCTCATATCAACCCCCTCCTTTGCCTCCCCCTATCAATGTCAGTTGTTGGGGCTTAAAAGTGTGCCTCCTCCTCCTGGCGGCCCTCCTTCCAGCCATTCCCATGGCTTATTCAGGCATTCCGCAGCGATACGGGCAGTCAGCCGGCTGGTTGATGCGGGGTCACTCGGCCTTGACTGCCGGCTGAAAGAACGGCCTGTACCCAAAGGGCGTTCTCGCTGTTGTCCCTTCATAATGATTAGGAGATTTTTGTACGAAAATTTACTCTGGACGCTATATCGCGATGCCTTGATGTTTTCTTGATGCATAGTGATTTAGGCCCGTGCGACTCAGAAGCCATCCTTTTGGTGATTTTGGATGCACTTCCGGCCCATTTTCAGCTTCAGATCTTGTCATTTCAGATTTGTGTGCAAAAGCTTATTATGCTAACTTTTTTATTGCTCTATTAATGCGTACAGGAGGATCCCTGACTTCCCAAAATAAGTTTAAAAAATTCCTAGATTTTAATGCGGATTCTGATCTGGAATCCGCTAATTCCGGTTTATTTTGGTCTGAACAGAGTCATAATCATATTTCATTTTTAAGGCTTAATCGAATCATCTCGTCGTTTGTATGAATCAAAACGCTGCAATTCTACACTTTACTATTTAGAAACAATTTTCTTGATTCTCCCTTACTGGGGAGAAAATTCCACCTGTCATCCTCTAAAAAGCGTACTTGTAAGGATCAGCGCAAATCCACACTTAATTGCGTTTCGAAACGAGAAAGTGTAGTCCAACATTTTTACCTCCCTGTCTCATCCTTTCCACATGGTTACCTGGCCGAACCGCCTGCCAAAATGACCTCCAAAATTCGGCCGGGCCGAGTCCACCTGAAAACTCGAGCTGACAATCCACTTTTCAAAATTACGATCGAGTTTTGTTGCGAATTTTGCATACGTAGACTTTATCAACGATTTCTATTCAAGAAAACCTTGTTTTAACGTCTTTTGTGTAATTTGAGCGTTTTCGGAATTTTAAAATGGTATATTTTTCAGCTCAAAGTACTGCTCAAGATTCAAACTATTTTTACTCAACCCCGACGCCCTTCCGCTTTTTCCTATCAACAGCAAGTGTTAAAAGCCTAGGGGTTGGGAGTTCGGATGACTCCCGGGAGGCCATCCATCTAGCTTCCGGCCAGTGGGGAAAACCCACAAAAACAGCTGTAGGAAGTTCACGTTCGGGAGTTTCCAATCATATTATACTTCTACAGCGTCCTTGTTCGTTAAATTTCCTTATTTTTATTTTCCTACTATATATAAAAAAATAGTGTCTGTGTGTTTGTGTGTGTGTGTGTGCCACTTTGCATGCAACTTCCGTCAGGGTGTCCGGAGGATATCTCGATAGGGAATGAATTTTAGGGTACGGATGATACGTCATTAGGTGCGTAATGGCTCTGGGATGACTGCACGCTTATCAGATTTACCAAAACTGCCTATTTTCGACATTAAATTTAGGTTTTTGTTAAAAAATCGGGGACCCTCTTTGTTAGGAAAAAATTAGCATGCGCCGGAAGTGGCGGCAGCCTATATAATGGGGTAGAAGGTGCGATGTTCATTCTTTGTCATCGGAAATCGAGAATTATGCAAAGTGAAGTAGATCATGAGACCAGACGGGGCCAGGGTTGAAAAATCGCGAAGCGGCTTTTCAACCCTGGTTTATTATTAAATTCCTTCCCGAATACTGGTTATATATAACCTGTTTTTTCTTTCTTACGTTTCTCCAAAAATTAAATAAGTCGGATTTTCAGAAAATGCCCAATTGTCCGAACTGCTCGAAGCCGGTGTATTTTGGTGAGTCTCAAATTTCTCGTGCCTTTAAAGTGTCGGATAATTATCTAAAACATTTCTGTGTGTCGTAAAAATATAAATAACACAAAAACAAGTCGAAAATCCCTAACGTCCTCATTAATCCTGGCCTCCATGCGAAGTCCTTGCATACGAGGCCTTTGAATAATTGCTCGTGATGCAGAGGCCTACGCAAGGATACGGCGGATTTTTCCGGGAGTGTAGCTTAAAGTACCGAAAACATTAAGGATCTTAAATTCGAGTTGAAATGGGTTGAATGGGAAATTTGATAAGTGAGCGATTCCCCCAGCTCCTACGTCGCCCCGGCTTGTATACCGGAAATGGCGCCGGACAGAACGGACTACCAGGATTAGGATTTTGCGCTCTTTTGCATATTGGGGGCCATCATTGCCACTTTGCATATTAAAATTAATAATCTCAATGTGATTTCGTCAAACATCTTCGAAAAATTGCGAGAAAATCGTTACAAAGTTTTCTTTGAATCAATTAATGGAAGGACTGGAGTTTTCTGTAAAGTAGTTAGCTTCAAAATTGCTAGATTTATCATAAAGGCTTACATTAATGTTGATTTAAGTACCACGGGTAACACGACAGCCGTTTTCCAGAGCTAAACACCGATTTTCCAAGGCCCAAAAATATCATAAAATTCAGGCTAAGCGACTTTCTGAATAATTTTATTTTGGGCTAGGCGACTTTCTGAAGAATTTTATTTTGTCTTCTATTCTGCAGTCTGGAGCTTCTAGGATACTAAAATCAGGTAGCTCCCCTCAAGCTCTTTTTACACTAATCCGACTACCGTATCCAGATTAAAAGCCATAGCCTGCATTTCCATGCATCTAGAAGGACCGTTAGATCCCAAATGGTATATTCTTAATCTACCATAGTCCGCTAGCCTCTATCTAGTTATTTATAGTCCCTAGTCAGGAACAGAAAACCACAAAATTCCGGAGATTCCATAAAATCCTTACCTTAGGACAAAGATACCTTATTCCTCCGGCCGTAGGAGGTAATCTAAATAGCTTGTAGTCCGTAGTCTTGTAGCAAAAAGTTGCGACGTTCCAAAAATTCCAAGTGAACACCCCGGAATCCAGACTGTCCGGTGTTCCGCGGGAATCCCCCTTACAGTCCAACATCGTCGATAGGGGCGTGGTGTAGTATCGGGGTCCCGGAGTTCTTAGGCCGGATGTCGATGTCCATTTCAATGGCTATTTGCTGGTGGCTGAGGGCATTCAGATCAGTGTGTGGTGGTGTTGGGGGTGGTATTTGTGAGGGTGTTTGACTGTCAGATCAGTGTTGAAAGGGGGCTGGGGGCACCTTTTAGGGAACAGTGCTGAGACCCGCGCGATTGGCCCCGTCAAATAGCCCCCTTATTCACTCCGGGGGGGCACTATGGGCCCGGATTAACGGAAAGGGGCAAGGAGTGGATGGGGACCAGGTGTGAGGCGGTTATGTTATGTTTAGGGGCCGGGGTGATGGATTGTGACACCTTGGGGGTTGTGGGGATACGGTAGCCGGTGGCCCGGGGCTGATCTTGGCGTAGTATCGAATTTTCTGTGCGGAAATTTGGCAAACTCGGGGAGAAAAGCTTGAAGATTATAATTTTTGAAGTTTCCAGAGATAAATTTTATGAAAACGACAATTATAAATAAGTGAAATGGTACCAAACAAGACGAATTTTCATTTATATGCTTTCCTTAAGTGACCTGAGAAAAATTGAACATCAAATTATGATAATAAAGAAAAATCCGTTCCAGTTATCGTTTTTGAGATTTTTTTAACATAAAAGCTACTTTTTCCAGAAAAAGTCCAGCGAGAAATCGATAATACGAAACTATTAGTATAAAAACAGACATTTTACACTTTACCCTCCTCTGCCTTAAAAAAATCATCGTTTTCGGACGAGCTATGACGAGAAAAGTGTGGAACTAAATACTCTTAAAATTTCAAACCATGCTTTTTTCATAATGTAGAATCTTTTAGCCGAGAAAGTCACCTCTCTTGGCAAAGACTGGCACCGCCCGTGTCTCAAATGCTATAACGACAAGTGTGGAAAGACCTTGTCCTCGGGCAGTCATTCTGAGGTATGCAATCTGAAGCTTTAGGAAGTCATCCTGAGCCTCAGGTTGTGAAAAACTAGCCTGAGCTCGTTTTCGATTGATATCAGCTTCATCTTTAGCACGAGGGCAAGCCGTACTGCAACCGGTGCTATGGAGCGCTATTCGGGCCCAAGGGGTAAGTAGTTCTACAAGTAATTACAGGTCTCATTCGCTCGCTCTCTCTCTCTCTCGTCTCTCTCGCTCTCTTGATCTCTCTATCTCTCTCTCTCTCTCGCTTTCTAACCCTACTAATTCCAATTTTCTGGCGTGTATTGGAATTTTTCAGTTACGGCCACGGCGGCACCGAGTCGCACACCTTCCACGGCGGCCACACTGGAAAATAAGTTATCTTTTTTGTATCTAATTTTTCATGTTGCGTTTCCAAATTATCCATTCCTTTTCCTAAAAGCTAATTCCACGTTTTTCTAATATTCGGTCGTTATGCACATATAATAATCGTATTCGTTATTATGGAACTGTACTGCCAAATAAACGTATATTTCTGCGATTCGGATTACGATAAAAATTGAACTTTAACTTTTGTCCGTTTGTACATTTCAAAGCACATAGCATTTCTTTATTATGCCGTATCAACATGACAACGTAAACGCGCAAAGTACAGAAAAGGAAAATAATTGCATCACACAAAAAGCACAAAGAAAAACGAATCAATTCAGCAACGCATTTGGTACATAAATAATTTTTGCATATGTCGATGGCGATTAGTAGGAGCCGTAGTTGTGGTTTCGATTTTGTTGCTGCTCTTCGAAGGCCAGGAAATCCTGAAAACAGAAAAATTAGAAACGTTTTGGAAAGAATTTTTGCATTCTGCACGCTTCAGTATATGTTATGTTACGCTACTAAGCACGAAACACGGCAAATAACGAAATACCACACACCGCTCACGCAAAAAAAAATCAAATTTTACATTTTGACAGAGACGTTAGAAAGCACAAAACAAGATAAAAGACGTTCCACATTCCACGATACACCACGCGCAATTTCGTCAACCTCACCCATCAAAAATATTTTAATACTGGTGTCGTTGCTGTTTTTGTTCTTCAAAGGCTAGGAAGTCCTGGAAGGAATTTTCGAGATATAAAGACACCAGTGGAAAAAGACCGCTTCGCGGCCCTTTTCCACTGGACCCCGTCCAGGAACCATGAATCTAAACACCTTCTTTTTTAGCCTGCGGCGCATGAACCTGAGTCAAGGAACCATTCTTTGGCCTGCCGCGCAAGAGCCGGCGTTGCGCTGAATCCTTGAGCCTGCGGCGCTAGTTACTGCTTTTTCCCTGCTGGGATCTGGCCTGCGGCGCGAGAGCCTGAGTCCAGAAACCATCCTTGGCCAGCGGCGCGAGAGCCTGGGTCCAGGAACCATCCTTGGCCTGCGGCGCGAGAGCCTCGGTCACGGACCTTTTCTTTGGCCTGCGGCGCGAGAGCCTGGGTCAAGGACCCATCGTTGGCCTGCGGCGCCAGAGCCTGGGCCAAGTACCTTTTCTTTAGCCTGCGGCGCTAGAGCGAGGGCCAGGCAAATCGCGCACACGGAGAGTCTAGAAATATGTTTTGTTGTTGAACTCCAAAAAAGCAAAAAGTTAACTTCGGCGTGGATTCGAACCCGGGACACGCGCTTGGTAGACCGGGGGCCAATCCACTACACCACGGCGAGATGGAGATGGGGGCGGGAAAGGCCCCTGTCTTCTGTCCTGGGGGCGGGCTCATCCCGGGAGGGAGGACTTCTGGTAACTTTACAAAATTCTCTTTTTGAGTCTAAATGCGCCGAAAATTTGTAAAAATAATAAGGTGCGCGTGATCCCCACTATCGAATACATAAGTGTCCCAAATTACAGCCCGAAATTCCATCTGAGCTTCGAGTTATGCCCCGGACACCACGGCTCTTGGCCTATTTTGTTAAGGACTTTTTGGAAAAATGCTCATAAAAATTTTAGATTACAAAATCTGCCAAAACCCAGAATTATATCACAGGAGAATGTAATTTTCAATCTTCCCTCCAAAAATTAGCGCCTAATTCCATTTGGCTCGAGAGATATCCTCTGAACAAACCTTTTTTCGGCCAAGATGTTAAGGATTTTTCACTATTTTGCTTGTAAAACCGTTAAATGAAGGAATTTCGAAAAACAAAAAAATGCGTCACTGACAAATGTGTTTCTCCACCTCCATGCCAAAAATCAGCTCAAACTTCGGCCTGGCGGCCGAGAAATCCGCTGTACAGAAAATACACATACTTTTCTCGCTTATAGGATAGGATTATTTTTCACACAAATTTACGATTAAAGACAAAACTCACAATCAGGAAAGTAGCGCCGAAGAGTGCGACCTTCATCGTGACGTCCAGGTCGATGGGGACTGAAAAAAAGTATAAAATATCACTTATTACAAATTTAAACCCACAATCCACAGTGAAAACATCGGCATTCGTGTACGTCTCCGCCACCCATCCGCGCCACTTCTTCCTGATCGAGCCGATCACCTGGTTGCCCTCGGGGACCATGATCTAAAAATTTATTTAAAACAGCTCGTCATATCAAAAAATATATTATTCATTAAAAACAGCAAATTTAATCACCTTTTAGTAAAAAAAAAAACAAAAAAAAACAGATTTTTACAAAAATCGCTGTTTTTTACCAAATTTCGACTTTCGGAAAGTCATTAGACATTTCTAGCTTCAGAAAGCGTAATTTTTACCAGAAACAACCTTAAATCACTTCAAATTAAGTCAATAGACATTTTAAAAATTTACAAAAATTCGGTTATCCCTCCCGATAATGCCAAAAACCAAATTTAAAATCATAGAAATTTAATTCACCTCGTAGACCTTGTCGGCGCAGCAGTTGCAATTGTACGTCCAGCCGCACATGCCCGGGCCTTCGATCCTAAAAACTAGGCATAAAAAAGTATGAGCCATTTGCTTACTTGAAAATATCCTTGCTCTCGTCACCGGTGCGAACCACGAAATTGTGGCAACAGCAGCCGAACACCTGCCGAACGACGCTCACCTGAAAATGAGCTTGAAAATGTTCGGAGACAGCAATTTCAGCGATCAGACATAAAGAGCTTTGGTGTCTTATGAAATAGCAGATTTCTCAGAATTTACAGGCGTTTTCGCTACAAAAATGATATTTTTTTTTGTAAAACGCTGATTGCTCAAAAAGGCGCAACAAATGATGAGAACTGTTTGAAAAAACTTTCAATAGCATTTTTAAACCGGCAATAAAAAATTTACCACATTTCCGGGCGGGGCTTCAACCGTAGTTTCCGTAGCACAACTGTCACATCCGGAGCAACATCCGCAAGAGCACAGACACTTGAACGGACGGGTGAAGCGCATCACTTCCTAAATAGCAGGTAATCTCTAAAGCAAAAGGATTTACCCTCTGGAAATTGTCGACGACGTGCATGGTATATCCTCGCAACGGGCCGCAGCACTGACGCTCGCAAGTCTCGGATTCCTCGTAGGCGAAGTAGACCTAAAAAAGAAATATCCAACGCTTTTCACTCGGCTAGAATGTGAAAAAGGTAGAAATTACTAATTCTAGAAAAGTAAAAGCGTTAGAAACCACAAACCTGCTGTCCGGCCGAGTTGAACACGCTGTACTTGTTCTTCACCTCCCAGCTCGTCATCACCTCCAGCATGCTCATGTGCTAAAAAATATGATAACCTATGTAACAAAGACAGTTCCATACCTGATTAATCACAAGCTTGTCGAGCTGAGTCAAATATTCGAGGCCGGGTGGGCAACCGGGCATCTGTTCCGGCGGGGCCATCCATTGAACGGCTAAAAAATTCAAAGTTAACAATGAGGGAGAGAGAGAGAGAGAAAGAGCGAGAGAGAGGAGAGAGAGAGAGAGAGAGAGAGAGCGAAAATATCTAACCTGCTCCAGGCGGTGGCGGCGGCATCGGGGCGCCCGGCTGGCTCGAATAGATCGGAGTGCCCTGCATGAAAGCGCCTTGCTAAAAAAAATAGGTTTTGTAACGTTAAAACAACTAAATTAAAGCCTAATAACACGATAAGGAATCTGATACCTGCTGCCACAATGGCTGATAGGTCACGACAGGATATTCCATTTTGCGCTATCACTATTCCTACGAATTTCTAGTCAAATAGGGGGACTTCCCCAATTTTAGATGGGCTCTATGTCCGCTTTGGAATGGGGAAGCAAGAGAGGGAGCCGACGTTTAGGGCTGGCTACAAGGAAAAGCGGAAAAGAAAGCAAAGGCATGCAAAAGAGCGCCCGAGTCGTTTCTCAGGCTTTCTTTCGGGATTGGAAGCCATATATCTTCGCGGCCGGCCTAACCCCAACATTTCCTAGTTGCTAAATGTAATAAATCACAAAAATAGATAGTTTTTAGAGCTCAAGAACTAGTTTATAGGCCACCAAAAAGGCTAAGAGCGTGCCTTTCAAATTTTTACGTTATTAGCTTTCTAATCGGACTTTCTAAACGCAAAATTTTCTAGCTTTGCTACACAAACGGACCTAACTACGCTTTTTTTTTCTAACGTTAGAATTAGCTCTAAAAATACAACAAGCGGCTGAACGCGTTTTGTGAAAATTTGAGAACGATCGTCGTTTTCGACAACACGCGCTGATAAATCAACACCTCGGCAACGTCGTATCTTCTTTCTTTTCTATTTAAATCGTTATTGTAAAATATCCTCACCCCAAAATTTCCATTCGTCGGGTTGGCCATGCCCTCGTTGAGCGGCATGACGAGGCCAACAGGCGGCGGCGGCGCCGTCGGCATGCCCATCGGCTGCTTGGTGTACTGGCCGGGCATCATTTTTGTCTGAAAAAAGCTTATATACTTTTCAATCGAACCAGATAACTTTTGAAATATAGAATAAGTGGATTGACAACAAATACTTCATCGTATAGCGCAACAAATTCAAAAGCGAGACCTGGGAAAAGATCTGCGAGACGTAACTCGAGTAACTCTTTTCAAGGTCAACTTTAGAGCTAAATTCATTCAAAGCATTAAGAATCACTTTAGAAAAATAGAACTGGTCGATTTCAGGCAAATATTAGACCCTTGAGTCCAGGTGGTAATTTCTGGGAGACGTAGCGTGAAAAAGTTGACCAAAATCATTAATTCCAGCGCAGGTAGAAAGGGTGAGAATGTAATGGGAATGTGGTGAAATGTTCCTTTACGAAAGTTCTACTAAAGAATGCGAAAATGTGAGTTTGATTTCAAAGAAAATAAACGAGAAAGGGAAGAAGGAGTAAGAAAATCATGAAATTCGAAGCAAAAGGCATTCCAGATGAAAGGAATTTAAATTTGTAGTTATATCCATCAATAATACGTCTAATTAGATAGTTTTAACGAACTTTTTTTCGTTTATAAAAGAGGAACTGGCAATTTTGGCGTGGACCGTGCAACGAAAAGCGCAATGTTTAGGGATGAGTCATCCCAATGCGAATTTCCCATGACGCGCGCGGTTTTCGGGGAAAGAACAGAAAGAACAACGCAGGGATGGCGAAATATGATACTAAATCATTCGGGGATAGCTAAAATTATAGGTAGCTCCAAAGTATCTCCAATTTCCGGCTAATTTCCGGGGGATCAAGATTTGTAGCCTGGGGCGGGAGCAACTACACTATAGCAAGTGTTTACGCATTAATGGGATAAGATTTGTAATGTAATTTGCAGCTTACTGCTTTATTGGTTTGTAACAAACTACTAGAATAACAACTTTTAGCGGCAAAAATAGCTTTTAAAAAGATTGCAAGTAAAAAAAAGAGCTTAAAAATGGCTTAACAAAGAAATAAATTGCTAGCGGTAATAATTATAACCATTAATGATACTTATTGCCTTTGTCTGCTTGGTTTATTAGTAAAAAACTTAAGCCTATCGAAAATATCGGCCAAATTTTGGTTTGGAGAAGCCCAAAAACGTGCAAACCGGAAGCTCTATATTTGAACAGCCGTCAATAGTCCTACAGCGGAGACTCGGCTATTTTTTAACCAAAAAACATGGGAAATTGAGGTAAAATGCATCGTAGAACAATGTGATGCCACAGGAACCGGTTTTCAGCAGGATTTTGTCAAAAGTGACCCCGGAAAGATTTTGTTTGGGAGCGCAGTCACTTGATCTCCCGGCTGGCAGCACCAAATTGGACGGCTGATCGGAACGACACAAAAAAGGGCAGGGAGAGTTAGAGAGAGAGAGAGAGAGAGAGAGAGAGAGAGAGAGAGAGAAGGAGAGAGAGACAGAGAGAGAGAGAGAGAGAGAGAGAGAGAGAGAGAGACAGAGAGAGAAATTTTAACGATTATCTACCGCTCTAGGAAATGCTAACCAAAGATAATGAGGCCCCAGCTCAAGATTGCTCACAAAACGTCCTGTGGTTTCAAAAAAGTTGCCATTTCTTAAAAAGAATCTCTAAATAAAATAATCTGAAATTACTAGAAAAATACGACTTAATACTATAAAAAACGTCAAGGCATCGAATTATCGCTAAAAACGAAAATACTTGGATTTGTTATCCGGTATTTGCATAGAGTTCCCTTGTTCAATTTGATGCAAGAGAATCCTAGCTTTCTAATTCCTGAAAACAAACGTACTACTTTAGGTTTTATCTAGTTTCTGCTGTATTTACATCACCGTACAATTGAATTTAAAAACTTGAAGATTTTGTACGATCTGCAGTCAAACTATTTAGCATACAAACTACCGTAATCCTGACGAAACGCCATCAATGATTACAAAACGTGACTTCTAAAGGCGACTTCACTGCCGCATTTTAACAAGGTGTGCGAGGGGGAGCTATGGAAACGGATGGCGAGAGCCAGATTGTCGCCTAAAAAGCGCCCATTTTCTAATTGGAAAGGGAAGGTGGGGCACAGACGGCCTCGCGCAGACCAAAATGTTTTCCTTGCGTCATCCGCTGGGATTCGCAAGCCATTGCCCCGGCTAATTTTATCCAAACCACGCGAATCTAGTTGGGAAACCTGGGATGAGGTCTAGTAGAGTGGGATTGGAGACCTTTTTGGACTCGTGCGTTTTGCGGGCCAAACTTAATCCGGTGGTAATAAAAATTGGGCGCAACGGGGATATGTGGAGAGAGCGAGGGAGAGAAAGAGAGAGAGAGATAGAGAGAGATAGAGAGAGAGAGTGAGAATGCGAGAGAGGCGCATGAAACTACGAAATGGACCGAGATAGAGAAACATGGAGCCCGTAAGAGAACTACGGATATAAAGAGCTGAGCACGAGCTAAGCGTAAAACGTAAAAGGAAGCTGAAAGCCTACAATAAAAACAGTATGCCAAAAACTAAGCCTTAAAAAAAAGATAGATTGCACTACCGAAGTGAGGGTGAGCGACGACGTGAGCAAGAGAACGAGAAAGATGGGTCGAGTGCGGGAGAGAGAGAGAGCGAGAGAGATGGGAGAGAGAGAGAGCGACAGAGAAAGAGACTTGAATATGATGAGAAAAATATTAAATTCAGTTATTTATTGTTCTAAAGGCACATTTAGATCAAATAATTTTTGAATTCGTGTCTAACCACAAGTTCCTGTCGCCTGGTTTACATGTCCCGGATCATCGATATTTTTTGGTGTACTTTTCCCACTCTTAAAAGTTCCGAAGATACCAGACTCCATTCGTCAGATCCGCAAGTCGCAACTTCACATCTAGCACTTATTACGTGCAATCCCTTGGTCAGCCGACTGGCTCCCAAAAAATGTTTATGCAACCGGGCATATTAGCGCCAGCTCTTGGGCCGTCTAGTCGTGTTGACCCCCGCGTTTGAGATTTGAGACATGTGCGGAAATGGTATGAGTAAGCTGGAGAGAGCTTGTTAGAGACAGAGAGAGAGAGGGGGAGAGAGAAAAAAGAGGAAGAGAGCGAGAGAGAGAGTGTCGCCCAAAAAAACCCATTAATATGCCGCCGGGGCGATGATCGACTACCCCTTTCCCTTCACTTGACTCCGATCACACATGGCCACCTACCGTATCGAGAAATTAGCCGGGTAGTACCGGGGTACCCGACTGCCGCCAAGCCCCGCCAAAATTTGCATTCAACTTTCAGACCCGTGACTTACATCCTCAACTTTGGAAGGAGTGGCAAATCTGGAATTCTGTGCTGCGAATCTCCGCTACACGGCGTTCGGATTTATCGGCTCCAATGCCGGCGCTTTTCTTGTCGATAGCCAAATCTTCCCGCTTTTTCAAAATCTAGGATGCCGTTCCTCAATTTTGCCAGGCTCCAAAATCTTGGCTGCACTGCCGCGGGGCACAAATTTGTGATGGCGCAGATAAAAATCAGCGTTGCCCTTTGTGTCTGCTGGGTCCTTGGAACGGCAAACGGCCCTAGCAAACCAACATTCTGGTGGATTTCAATACATCAATGACTAATGTCGTTCTTCAAAAAAATAGGACGATTTTTCGTGCTTCCAGGTTATCGGGGGGGCGGTTATTTTAGCGGGGGGCGGTTGCGCACTTTTTCTATAAACTTGTGCGGGTCGACTAATTAAAAGTTTACCATTTTTATAGACTTGTACGCCGTTGCAAGCGGTTCTGGATTGTTAGAGGCGGTGGAATTTTTGTTTTTTGGTCTACCGTCTAAGAAACTAAAATTAAATTAAAAATAAATTTTAAAATTGAAAAGGAGCCAAAACCCTAGGTTTTGTGACTTTAGGATAAATGCTTTTATAATTTTTGATTTTCGGAAACTACCAAAAACAGTATTAAACTAAACTACAATTTATCCCTAGGCAGATATCGGCTAAACAAAGAAAAGTTTGCAACCGCCCCCCGCTAAAATAACCGCCCCCCGTTACCTGGAAGCACCCGATTTTTTCGTGGACACGTTTTGGTGGAATACTGATTGATTTTTAATAATTTCTATCCGGTGCACGCTAAGGTTCTTAATTAATTTATTGTAGAGAGCGAAAATGTCAGACAAGGCAGCCGCGCAGCGACGCACTCGTATATTGTATGAACGTCGGAAATGCGAGGTAATTTGGTTAAATTTTTTGTTCTCGCTCTCTCTTTTTACTCTGGCTCTCTCTCTCTCTCTCTCTCGCTCTCTGTCTCTCCCTCTTTTCATTCCAGCTAGATTTATCCTATCATTCGTTGGTTATCACGTTTCTTTAATTCCAAGGAGATGACGCGTGGCTACTCTCGGCTTCGCGTAATTCTTCCTCTCGATCCCGTACTTGGAATCGCGGCGCCCAAGCCGAACAGGATGGACCTGCTGAAGATGGCTATCAGTTACATTGAGTTTCTGCAAGAGGTGATACTCCTTCTGACTTTAAAACCATTTTTTCGAAAATAATCGAACGCGGTGGGTACAGGTCGGAGGATGAGGTTTCGCAAGGCTTTGGAGACTGGATGAGGGAGAAGAGGTTGGTTTTTGAAGAGCGATGAAGAGGGAGAACGAGCGAGAGAGAGAGAGAGGGCGAGAGAGATAGGCAGAAGCCTCTAAATTTGTGGATTTCTAGGCATCAAGACCTCATGACCGAACTCCAATCCCTCCAGAGGCTTGTCGACTCGATAAAACCTGCGGAAGAAGGGATTGCGCCGGCGGCTGCTCCTGTTGAAGACGCAGAAGTTCCTTACGCAAAATATAAGCACCGCAAGAAGAGGGGCAAGCAGACGCGGGATAACCGTGAGTTTTAAGATACCGAAACTTTTTTCCGTGTCGTTCCTCGTGTCGAAAGAAGCTATTTTCATATCGTAATTGATTGATTCTGATAGCCTGATTTCGACTGCCTCATTTAATTTATACCAAATTTTTCAGCTCCGGGGCGGAAGAACAAGAAGCCCGTCGCGCCTCCCTCCGCAGTGCCGAACGTCCCGACCCCGAGCGTTGCCGAGGATGCTCCGTTTCCGATGCTGCCTCCGCGTAGGTTCTTAACGGGATTCGGAAGGCACAGTAGATCAAGGCCGATCTATAATTCGCAGCGAGCCAACCGGCAATGCTAATGCAAAAAAATGATACAAAGGGGCGAGGCAGGAGGGAGCAGAGAAGATTTATGATTAGAACTAAAGCCCGATTTTTGCTAATTTTTCCGGCTCTTCCTGATCCCTTTAGGCTCAACGGACAGTGTATAGGCTTTTGGGGTCATCACTTACCCTACCTTGCCATACGTTAAAATGCTATATATTTAGTCTGGCAACCGTACCCATTCCCGTTCCCGATCCCGACCATGTCCGATGTCTTCTACCCCTCTGGATTGCCGATGCCTCAGACGCCACAGGTCTCTGAACCTCACCCGGATCCCCTACCGGTTCCGATGCTAACTTCGATATCGATGTCGATGCCGTCGACGATGTCGTTGACAACTTCGTTACCTACCTTGCCGCCAATTCAGTTGCCCTCTCTCCAGCCAACATACTTTGGCAACACGTTCAATAACATTGAGGAGCTGTAGGTGCTCAAATTTAGCTCCATATTTTTGAAATATCTCGCAAAAAAGGTAGCTTTTTCAACGCTTCTCGCGACTGCACAACCGTTTACTTTTTCAGCAATTCATCAGAATTTTCATTTTAAAAATACTTATGTTAAAATTTGATGCATCTGACCATTCAAGCACTGTTAATCATGCTGCACTAAATTGCTTCAATGCCTCTCTAAAAAAATTCCGGGGTCCCGTCTAACACCGTCTAACACCTCAATTTCACGCTCGCCCCGAATTCGACCCGACTACTCTTTGGTTTTTTGTTGTAAGCTGTTTTCTTGCTCGGATAAATGCTAGTAGAAGTTGTGTCAAATTGATATACGACGAGGTTAAGAAACCGATATTTATTAATCAACTACCGTTTAGAAAAGCGAAATTTTATCTAGACTTTCCAAAACCAATGATGACGAAAAAGAAGACGTACCAAGAAGTGCGTGAATACAACACAAATGTGGAGCGCAACAGAGCACATGTGAGAATTTATGGTTTAACTGGGTTATTGTACCTTGATAAATCATTTGGAACGTTTTTACTGCTTTTTTGAACCTTCCGAATCCGAAATTCGACTCGTTAGGCCCGTTTTTTTGCGGTACTACCGTAGCTCCGGATAACCTCCACGGCTTTTTGTCCGCAACCAAAATTGTAGTACAACCCTTTTCAGAAGCTGAGCGCCGCATTCGCCAAGCTTCGCGACCTTCTCCCAGCCCCAACGGCAGACGGCCACAAATTTCGTTTCATAAAACTAGAGGTGCTGAAGATGGCCACTGAGTATATCGATTATTTGGGAAAGGTAACTTACACTTGTTATGACTCGTTAGGTCTCAAAGCTTAAGCCTAACTGTAACCCTCTTATGGTCGAAGTGGAAATTCCGTACGTGAGATAGCACATCTTGTGCAGAATTTTTTGCTGATTCCGAATCTGATTTCAAAAGTTGCGGAACCCCTCAGATTAAAAAGTTACAAGCGTTTTAAATACCCAAAATGCCACAACTCGCTTACTTTAAAACGTTCTAAAAATTCCGTAAAATACTTTTGGGGGGAGAGTAAGGCATTTTCCGGGGTAAAAAAACATGCTCTTTCGAATGGGCTACCTTGCAAAAAAGTTTTTTTTGGCGGACCCATGCCCAAGATCGTCAATTTTCGAAATTTTACAAAATTTTAATATGAGGGGTTCCGCAACTTTTGAAGACGGCTTCGGAATCAGCGAAAAATTCTGTACAAGATGTGCTATCTCACGAAACGAATTTCCACTTCGACCATAAGAGGGTTACAGTAAGCCTGTATTTAAAATGGGGTAGCTGCGATTAAATCTTTAACATATTAAAAAACCCTTTAAATTCAAGAAATTTAGGAATCCGTGCATGAAGAAGAGTACCTTTCTCAAGAAGTGCTTCATGAAGAGTTCAGGAAATGGCGAGCGCTCAAAAAGTAGGTGTAGTGTGTAAAAGTCGTCTATTCTGCTGATATGCAAATTTGTATTTTCTTAAATTTTCTTTTTTAGCCAAGCCGATGATGATGATGAGACACCTCAAAAAACACCTCCTAAACTTGCTAAAAAGAAGATCAAGAAAGTGGCTGAACATCCAATCAAGAAGTCGAAGAAACCAGGTATATTGTTTTTCAAGCTATACTGGATGTTTTCTAAGTTTATCTATTTAAGACATTTAAATACCTTTTTCAGCAAAACAAAAAATCAACCGTCCAATCCCACTTCGACTGCACCCGTTCCGGCCGGCCTGGGCATATCCGGTAGCCGCTAAAGGACCCCGAGGTGACTGACAGTGAGAGCGAGAACAAGAGAGAAAGAGAGAGAAGAGAGAGAGAGAGAGAGAGAGAGAGAGAGAGAGAGAGCGAGAGAGAGCGAGAGATAGACAGAGAAAGGCAGAGGGCGAGAGAGAGGGAGATAGAGACCGAGACGAGAGAAACCATGCGTATCTACCATAACCAACTCATCTCAATTTTCTAGCCTGGCAACCAAACCCGCACTTCTTCGCCTACGCCCCCACCATCTACCCCCACCTGCACCAATGATCTTGGAAAGAATCTTACCCAGCCGCTTCCTACCCCCACTTCTTCCCATACCTAAAACTTCCCTGCCCAGCATCGACCAGGTCCTGAAGAACTACAAGCTCCCCACCCCAATAATGCCAAGTTTCCCGAGCTTCTCGAGCTGTACGACTTTTTCAAGCTTTTCGAGCTGTTCGACTTTTCCAAACTTCCCGATCTTCCCGACTCCATTTCCATCCCCTTTTTCGTTTCCGTTGCTCCCGCTGCCGACCGCCACCCCTCCGCAAATATTCTTGGCGGAAACTTTTGAGGTTTTGGATGCCGGGAATAGCTTCGAGCTGCTAGGGGAACCTGTTGAAATTGAGCAGCAACAGGGTGGATCCGAAATGAAACGTGAGGTAGATGACCACGTGGTTCAACATTCCAATAGCTTGGAAATTGACAAAGTTGTAGAAGAAAATTTTGAGCCTGACGTTAAGAGGTTTGATGCTGACATCGGCATAACAGAATCCGGTACTCTAGGTTAAATTCCACAAGATTTTCAGTTTTTTTCAAGCCTTCTTATCACCGTTTCTCGAAATTTCAAGTGAACTGGTCCCACCAAATAATGTCCAGTTTGTTGATGGTTAATACAAGACTTTGATCATGCGATAAAAATTGTCTCTGATCCTGTTGAACATCTGAAATTAATAAAATAACCTGCCAGCAATTTCCAGCCCGCAGTTGCAGACCCTTATCGCCGCCCAAATTCCCGGTGTTTTGCCAACCACCTGAAAAACCATATCACGCAACATCGGGCCTAGCGGGCTGTAGTTTTGCGTAGTCTATGGCACAATACGGAAGCCGTTAGGTCAGAACACAAATTTTCTGTTTTTCGCAGCGAGATAGAGAGATAGAGAGCGAGAGACAGAGAACTAGAGTGAGAGATAGAGAGAGAGAGAGAGAGAGAGAGAGAGAAAAGTGAGAGAGCCAGAGGGAGAGAGAGAGAGAGAGCGAGAGAGAGAGAGAGAGAGAGAGAGAGAGAGAGAGAGAGAGGGAGAGAGAGAAAGTGAGAGAGCCAGAGAGAGAGAGCGAGAGAGTGAGAGAGAAGCAAAGAAAGAAAGAAAAAGAGAGAGAGAGAGATACGCATATCAGTCTGTCCAAAGAGATCCCCGGCTCATCACCAAACCGAATTTATCAATTCTGCGTGCGCGTGCCCTGCCCCAGAGCCAGCCCCGCTACATGTTTGCAACCCTGTAGTCCGAAGTGTTCCCGTTTACGCCATTATTCTTTTGTTTGTTAGTCGAGGGCGCTTTATGAACAAAAAAATCCAAAATGTTATAATTGTGTTCTTGAATGCTAAAATAGTTTTTGGCAAAGTGACGAGGAAACGAAACTATCTTATGGATCTTTTTTGATTCGTCAAGTGTCAAAATTATGTTTAGCTCGTACTTTATACTTGCGACAATCCTTATTTTATTTATGGTATTACCACACTTTCATTAGTGCCAAAAATCGGCGTATCCGCGCTATTATCGCGCAGATGCAATGGAAACCATACGTTGATGATTTAAAAGTTGAAAACTTTCTGATCTAAATTTATTAAACGCATTTTATTTTTTGAATTTACATGACTTGCAAGGGAATTTTTGCGGGCTTTAAGTTATCGTTTAATTTAATGAATTAAATCACAGCTATTGGCGAATTTTATCGGACGTGAATGCTCTCATTTTTTATGAAAATCTGACTTAAAAATCGTGGTTTCCTAAAAATTGAATGTAAATTTTGCTCCTTGTTTTTCTGTATTTCTGTCTTTCTTTTTAATTTTTCTATATTTTTCTCGAACAATTACGCCTTAAAATTGCAGAGATGGTTATTACCTCCGAGTTCACGACCGACGCCCCGACACAGCCACTCCACATTTCACTCCTTGACAAATATGAATATTTCGCCAAGGAGCGCCCCGACTTGATCGTTTTTGTAAGTGTTTTCTGAACCCTATAATTATAGCTTAACCAGGGTTGAAAAGCCGCTTCGCGACTTTTCAACCCTGGCCCCGTCTAATCCTATGATGTTCTTTATTTTGCATAATTGTGCCTCAATTCCGATGACAAAAAAAAATGAAAAATGCTTCCTTTGGCCCTTTATATAGGCTGCTGCAACTTCCGGCGTATGCTAATTTTCTCCTAACAAAGTGGGTGACCGAATTTTTACGAAAATCTTAATTTTAATGTCGAAAACAACATATTTTACAAAATCTGATATGTGTGCAGTCATCTCGAGACCATTACGCATCTAATGATGTATCAAACATCTCCTTACACCCCTCACCCCTTGAGATATCCTCCGGACACGCTGACGGAAGTTGCATGCAAAGTGGCACACACACACAGACACTATTTTTTTATATATAGTAGGATTTTAGCGCAACTCGGAGAACCACGACGACTGCCTCACTTACGCCCAGCTACGCGATAACGTGTTGCGAGCCGCCAATTTTTATCACCACCACGGGTTCCGGAAGGGGGGAGGTAGGCAGGGGGCGTTTGCAGGAGCAGAAGTTGAGCAGAAAACCAAAAACGGCAGAATAAGATGCTAAAGAGTGAAACTATTTGAGAAAACATGAAAAAGCTGTTTTTCACGTTTACAGGTCAAATAAAAAGCATGTCGTTTTTAGAAAATGGCGTTATTTAGCTAAATAAACCCTCATTTTTAAATTGCGCATGTTTTTACAACCCATATGTTCATCAGGGCTATTAAAAGCTACAAGGAGGCATCTATTCCAATGTTTAATTTTACACTATCTCCATAAAATTTAAATTTCGAACTTAAGCAATCATATTCTTTTCTAGGTATGCAGCATCATACTACCAAACTGTTGGCAATTTCCTATTGCCATGATCGGCGCCTGGACCGCCGGAATGACGGCTTCCGGCGCTAGCGTGCAGTTTACGCATTGTAAGTTTCGAAACTTGGGAAAACAAAATTTATTACTTCTCAAAACAAATCTAGCACCTTTCAAAACGCCTCAGCTTTTGCAGAAAATTGCGTTAATTCATTTCCGTTTTCCAGAATAAAATCAGTTTCCTCAACGAAATAAAGACTAGAACGTATAAATTTAGACGAACTAAAGCACCAGTTCGACGATTCCGAAGCCTCTGTTATCATCACGGAAGACACTTACCTAGACAAAGTCTTAAAAGCTGCCGAGGGCTCGAAGAGGATTCGGGTGAGCAAGAACGCCTCTCTCTCTCTGTCTCTCCCTTTGTCTCACTCTCTCTCTCTATATATATCTTTCTCGCTCTCTCTCCCCTCTCTCTCTCTCTCTCTCTCTCTCTCTTTCTTAACTTTTCTTTTACAGGAAATCATCGTTCTCCGAACAAAGCCGGACCCACTCCCGAAAGGCGTGACTGATTTCGAAGAAATGCTGAAGTGTAAACCCGATTTCGACTACAGGGCAATCAAATTTGATATGAAAGAAGATTTAATAACACTGCCATATAGGTATTTTTACAATATATCCAGAAAATACGCATTTTTCAGTTCTGGAACCACAGGAGCTCCAAAAGGCGTGATGATCACCCATTTCAACCTGGCGAGCTGTCTGGAGATGTTTTTATTGTAAGTATTGTTAATTTTGCATGCGAATTTGAAACAAGGTGATGCCAGAAAACGGGAAAACGCTAAATTTGAATGATCAAAAGGCAACCTTTAATCACAAAAACCGGAATTCCTGAGAATTTTCTTTTTTAGAATTCCACAAATTAGTTTTTAGTAAACGTTTCCATATAAAAACTCTAAAATGAATTCAACCAGCAGGATTTGCATTTTTTTCGAGGTATCTCAAGATCACTGTACAGCCATTTATTGTTGGCATGGATAATATTGTTTGATGGTACTTGATCTCGTCATTCGCAACATATCGTACAGGCAGGAGAGCGCATATATCAGATGTCATCAGTAGTCAGATGTAGTCGACCAGGCATTACTGCTTGCCCTCGCCAGAAGCAGCCGAAGGTCCAAATCCAGCCGCCCGCTTGCCATAGTATCCACCGTAATATCCACCATATAGTCCACCGTATCCATATCCAAGATATCCAGCGTATCCACCGTATCCACCGTAATAAGATGGGTATCCACCGTAGCCATAGCCATAGTATTGAGCATCTACCGAGACGGCAACAAGGCAGAGAAGGGCAACGAGGCACAGAACTTTCATTGAAGAGTTCATTGTTGGATGATGGGTTGGGATTGGACGGGGTTTTCGAATGATTTTACCGCCAATTTCGAGCTGTTATATACCCTCCCAGCTGTGTTGGTTTCTATTTGGTGCCCTTCTCGCTCGGTTCGCGGCGGGACCTCCTGTTCTATTTGGGGTATCAATTGACAGTTCTCTTTTCTTTTCAGGGGGAAAAGGGGAAACCCGGTGCGGGACCTAGTTGGCCCCCCCAAATATTCGCTCTAGCGGAAAAACTGTCAAATGGAGCAAGTGGCACTTTTCAGTGCGGGTTCACGCGGTCTGTGGCCCCTGCCCGAAAATCGTTCTCTTTGAATGAAAAAGGGCAAATAGTGATTGCAGAAGCGGTGAGAAAAAGTGGGACCTGTCAGCTGGGGAGGTGGTGGATTAAAAAAAGTGATTCGCTGAATTCGAGATAATCTTTGAGCTTGCCCTCGAAGTTTCACGACCATGTAAAAAAGAAAAATTTCGGGAAGAAATTATTGAGCCTTAGCATCGGCTAAAGAAAATCAAAACCATTTGCAATAGCTACCCACAAAGACAATAAATAATGCAAATGCAGCTATCCAGTTCGTTAACATAATGGATTTCTAGTGTATGGCAAAATTCCATTATTTTATAAGAGTGACGGCCTCTGAAGAGCCTTCGCATTACGCTCGCTAGAAGCCAATTTCTGATCAGGCCCAATGCACGGTTTTGGATTACGATGCGTTGTCATTTCTCCTGAAACAAACCTTTCCTAGTCTCTACTATTCCATTTTCACAAGTTCAAGATTTCTGAAATTTTTAGTTATAATATTTGTTCCGGGCTCCTCTTTTAGCCTTTTCGCAATTTTTTTAGCTTTATCTCTACTTTAACCAGATTTGAATATTTCCAACGCTACACTGCTTCTTTCCAACTGGTTTTCACGTTATTCCTCACTTTTTCCCGCCCACCCTCCGATTTTTTAAAGTTCAGATCGCGCCTTGCTCCCGATTTTCCCTCTCTGCCTCTCTTTGATTTGCCCTTGTACACGAGAAAGCCAAGCCATCTTTTTTGAATAACCGTTCCTCTAAAAATCTCATAGATTCAGAATAGTCAACGAAACAGAGGATCTGTTCAATTTAAAGAGCTTTGAACTGCTACAGTACCTTTCCGTGGTTATTTTAAAGCCTTTCGGATTTTCCGAGATTTTTGTAGTACATAGTGCGTTTTGAAGTGCGGTGGAGCCCTGTTTTTTGATCCAAATCTTTTATTTGGCGTATGGATAATACTGGTTGGTGGTAGTTGGTCAACGTTGGCAATTTGAGAGTACACGTAGCGTCATTTGGTGTCAGTTGTAGACGACCATGCATTACTGCTTGTTCTCCACGCCATCAGCCGAAGGTCCAAATCCAGCCGCCCGCTTGCCATAGTATCCACCGTAATATCCACCATATAGTCCACCGTATCCATATCCACCATATCCAGCGTATCCACCGTATCCACCGTAATAAGATGGGTATCCACCGTAGCCATAGCCATAGTATTGAGCATCTACCGAGACGGCAACAAGGCAGAGAAGGGCAACAAGGCACAGAACTTTCATTGAAGAGTTCATTGTTGGATGATTGGGTGGGATTGGACGGGGTTGTCGAATGATTTCACCGTCAAGTTCGAGCTGTTATATACCCTCCCAGCCCTGTTGGTTTCTATTTGGTGCCCTTCCCGACTCTCTATTAGCCTAAAAGAAATCTGACAGTTATTTAGGGGCCACCAGGGCCGTATTGGCACCAAGGGAAGTGAGAACAAATACGGGGCGCGCCTTCAAACACCCCGTTCGCGCGCGGGGTCCCCTGGCCCGGAAAAGTAAAGAAAAAGTTGGCTAGCCGACCGGTGAGCACGGGCGGTAGTTGAATAGAGCCCATTGAAATACCCTAGTTTGAGCAAATGTGTGTAGGTGGCTCACCGGAAACTACGGAATCTCTGGAATTTTTCAGTGGCCTTGGAATGGTCTTCGAAAAATTTACCTAGAGAAGTGATGAAAGAAGGCGATATTTCAACTCATGAAAATCGCGGTTCTGCCGGGTACTGTATTAGATTTAAAAATCATTAAAAAATCACTGAAAATGTCAAAAATAACTTCTTTCCGGGGCCTCATCCTCTCTAAATCCGGGCAAGGATAACATTAATCGATATAGCGCTTCAAAGCGCGGAAAATAAATCACGCTCTAAAATCCCTCAAGAATTGTTAATTGGCATCCGATGTATTTCGGCGGCTTTGACTTTTCTTTCCTCTTTTCCGAATTTAATCTAATTTTTCCTTTGTGAAAGAAAAATAGGTGCTTGGGTTAATTTTGCAAGACGCACTTCGTACTGCTATCTCCGGACCTCACCTCCGCCTCGGTACCCTGAACCTTGAAGCCTTAGCGTTTTTGTGTGGCTGCCTAGCGCACCCAGCGTTTGTTTTTTTCGAGGCCACAGAGCGGCGTTCCCGCCCAGTTGACAGTTTTTCTCAAAAGGGGGGCCCAGTTGGGTCCCTTACTTACCGACTGTCAGTCAGTTCACACCTACAAATAGGAGAGAGAGAGAGAGAGAGAGAGAGAGAGAGAGAGAGAGAGAGAGAGAGAGAGAGAGAGAGGGAAGGAGAGACGCCAAAACCCAACTCGCTGGCACCAAATAGAAAATCTGGGGTATATAACTGCTCGAACTTGACGGTGAAATCATTCGACAACCCCGTCCAATCCCACCCAATCATCCAACAATGAACTCTTCAATGAAAGTTCTGTGCCTCGTTGCCCTTCTCTGCCTTGTTGCCGTCTCGGTAGATGCTCAATACTATGGCTATGGTTACGGTGGATACCCATCTTATTACGGTGGATACGGTGGATACGCTGGATATGGTGGATATGGATACGGTGGACTATATGGTGGATATTACGGTGGATACTATGGCAAGCGGGCGGCTGGATTTGGACCTTCGGCTGCTTCTGGCGAGGGCAAGCAGTAATGCCTGGTCGACTACATCTGACTACTAATGACATCTGAAATGCGCCCTCCTGCCTATACGATACATTGCCAATGACGAGATCAAGTGCCACCAAACAGTATTCTCCATGCAAATAATAAACGACTGCACTGCATTCGAGGCTTGAAAAGCGAGAGTCATCAGAATTCATAAAAGAGAGAGAGAAAGGGACAAAGAAAAGAGAGCGGGAGAGACAGAAATAGAGAGATAGAGAGAGAGAGAGGAGAGAGATAGTGAGAGAGAGAGAGATTGTCTGAAGAGCTTGAGATGCGCCTTAGAAAAGCAGAAAGGGATGACTAAAATGAGGCGTTTTTAGTTCAAAAATCTCCTGGAAAATTGTTGATAGGTCCCAGATATATTGATTGGATTGTGCCGAATCCAAATCTAAAATGTTGGAGTACTTTGAACTCTGAAGAATGATTAAAGGAGGAAACGAGAGCCCAAGGCTTGGGAGAATGGATGAGAAGTAATAACGGGTTTTTGTTCAAACCTTAACAAATAAAGTGTATGAAAAAAAGTGACATTTTGCACGCCAAACAGCACTTGTCAGCGTCTCAGCACACTAATGCGAGTGGTCAGCAGGAAAGTTGGCAAGGCACGTGCCCTCAAGCTATGTTTTGGGCCGGAAAGGGTGTCAGGAATAATGCCGGTTCAATGAAAGGGAATACGAATTGGATTATTTTTCGTGCCTTATTTTTTAACCCGCAGAAACCGCTACGAAAAAAATAACAAATGATCTATTGTTTCGGTTTTTACGCATTGCAAAATTCTTGGAATTGAACCGGACCACAAATTTGCATCTTCGCCTTTTTGATGCCTTGTTACGACACGATGGAGTGCAGTCCCCAAGAGCTGCAGAACACCAAATTTCCACTTCTTCAATTTGGCAATCATTAACCATATTTTTTTGGTCTGCGAGGCAACGTCTGGAAATTTGCAGGCTTGAAAACTTCAGCACCAGAGCTGCCAGTGATCTCTAATCCATTGCATCGTTTTTTTAGCTCAAAGACCTCCTCACCTGACAGGTCCCACTTTTTCACCACTTCTGCAGTCGCTATTTGCCCCTTTTTCATCCAAAGAGAACGATTCTCTCCGCAGGGGCCACAGACCGCGAGAACCACCACTTGCTCCATTTGACAGTTCTTTTTCTTCTAGAGGGAATATTTGGGGGGGCAACTGGGCCCCGCACCGGGTTTCCCCTTTCCCCCTGAAAAGAGAAGAGAACTGTCAATTGATACCCCAAATAGAACAGGAGGTCCCGCCGCGAACCGAGCGAGAAGGGCACCAAATAGAAACCAACACAGCTGGGAGGGTATATAACTGCTCGAACTTGACGTTGAAATCATTCGACAACCCCGTCCAATCCCACCCAATCATCCAACAATGAACTCTTCAATGAAAGTTCTGTGCCTCGTTGCCCTTCTCTGCCTTGTTGCCGTCTCGGTAGATGCTCAATACTATGGCTATGGCTACGGTGGATACCCATCTTATTACGGTGGATACGGTGGATACGCTGGATATGGTGGATATGGATACGGTGGACTATATGGTGGATATTACGGTGGATACTATGGCAAGCGGGCGGCTGGATTTGGACCTTCGGCTGCTTCTGGCGAGGGCAAGCAGTAATGGATGGTCGTCTACATCTGACACCAAATGACGCTACGTGTACTCTCAAATTGCCAACGATGACCAACTACCACCAGTATTATCCATACGCCAAATAAAAGGATTTGGATCACAAAAATGAGGTTTCGCCGCACTATAAAACACATTATATAGCACAAAAATATCGGATACAAAGTGAAATGAAAAATTAAAATGTAAAATCAATTTTTATTGGCAATTAATATAAGAAAAGTATTGTAGCCGCTCGAACGCGCTTAACAATAAAATATATGCTGCCACATCAGCTATCTGCTTTTAAGACGTCAAAATTTTGTGGATTATGTATTTTGCGGCATTTTTAAAATGACATCAGAATGCAGCAGAGTTTATTACATTTTTTTCAGCAATGAAAAGCGAAAATGGGCCGAGCTTGGCATGCCCTTTGACATTGTTATTGGCAGAAACTCGCTTGCCATCCTGCCACAGTACCACGCTATGGGAATGTTTACGTAGGTTACGTTAAATTGCCTACGTTTTCTTCTTCCCGAAATATAACTTTTCATTATGAGACATAGCATTGAATACATTAAAAACGAGCCAATCGTATTTTTCAGGATGGTGGCTCTAACATTCATGGGGATTCAACAAATAATGTTCCGCAAGTTCCACCTCGAGTCGATGCTAATGCATATCGAGAAGTTTGATGTGGGTTAAAAGCTTTAAAAACTCCAAAAACCTAATCCAGCCAAAATCGCAAAATTAAAGCCCAACTAGCAGAGCTTCTTTGAGATGCAGTGATGAATTAGAAAGCCGAAAAAGTTAGTGGAATGTTAAGGCATGTTTTGTTCGATTTAGACAACAGTCCTGATCCTCGTGCCGGCCATCATCAACCAAATGGCATTCTCCCCACTACTCGACAAATACGACATGTCGTGTCTGATGACGATCAATTCCGGGTCTGCTCCGTTGAGCAAGAATGTCATCGAGAGGTTGAAGGAGAGACTTCCGGATATCAATATTAGGCAGAGTACGTTTCTTGAGACGATTTTGATAGCTCTCACTCTGCTCTCTCTCTCTCTCTCTCTCTCTCTCTCTCTCTCTCTCTTTCCCTTTCCCTCTCTCTTTTTCTCTCGATCTGTTCCTTTTCGTTTCCGTCGATTCAAAAACCGGGCCTTAAAATTCTATTTTATTTCTAGGCTACGGTATGACGGAAATGTCACTTGGATGCCATTTTTCTGTACTCAACCAACCAGACAACGCGACCGGAAAGTTGACCGCTAATATGTCGATGAAGGTAAGTCGGTGCTCGAGAATTAACGAAAGTCCCTAGAGCAAGAAAAAGATCTTATTCCATATCTTCAGGTAGTAAACCAAGAAACCGGTAAAGAGTGCGGGCCGATGGAGATGGGCGAGCTTCGAGTAAAGGGACCAGTGATCATGAAAGGGTAGCTTTTAAAGTAAACTTTCTAAACCTCGGCTTCAGCTACAAAAATCGGCCCGAAGACACGAAGAAGACGCTCGATGCGGATGGATGGTTGATTACAGGTAGTTTTTTTGAGCACTAGAAATGAAAATTTTTTTTAGGAGACCTTGTCTACTACGACAAAGAGGGGTTCTTATACGTTTGTGAGCGGGCGAAGGAGTTGATCAAGGTCAAGGGGGCCCAGGTAGGAGCTCGATTTTCGGGCTGAAATCCAGTAGTAAACACAACAACCACAATCACAAACGAGTACTTGAAAAATTTTATTTAGGTCGCACCAGCAGAGCTAGAAGACGTCATCCTCGGTCATTCTGGAATCGTCGACTGTGCGGTGGTTGGTGTTCAGCACGAGATAAATGGAGAGGTACACTATTTTTAGGCGGACGACAATTTCGCTTTTTTTGTTTAAGAATTTCAGGATTTATTTTTAGGCCCCACGAGCCTTCGTCGTCCGAAAAAGTGACGGCGTATCTGAAGAGGATATCCATCGCTTTGTTAATGGTAAGAAATAATTTTTATTATCTGACGACGTAGTGTATTTTTAAAAAAGCAATTTGTAATAAAATCAGAGCTTTTTAGAACGCGTTGCCCGGTATAAACAACTCACTGGCGGCATCATTTTCGTCGAAACAATCCCCCCGGACCCCAACTGGAAAGATTCTAAGGCGACGCCTGAAGGAGATGTATCCTGCGGAGAATTCTGAAATCAGAGCCAAGCTGTAGAATTTTCCAATGTACAGAGTAGCTAAAGTAAAGTACGAATACGTATAAGTTAACGGTGTTGAAATAAATTGTTTAAGTTTGATTGGCTGTCTACGACTTAAAAAGCAAAGGAAGCGGGACAGAGAGAGAGAGAGCGAGAGAGATAGAGAGGGCGAGAGAGATAGAGAGGGCGAGAGAGATAGAGAGGGCGAGAGAGAGGGAGAGATATACATGCAAGTGATAGAAAGAGCGAGCGAGTGATAGGTTGTGAGAGAGCGGGAGAGAGAGAGCCAGAAGCAACGAGCTAGATGGATAGATAGGGAATTCCTGAATCTCCAACAATAACTCGGAAAATTTGCATAAAATTTCACTAACAAATTTGCATAAAATGAGCCAAAAATCAAGCCTAATTTGTGTTTCACTCACCACCCGACACTCGTCTTTTGGAGTTACTCGTCCTTCGCTTTCTAACATGCGTTGTTGTGGTCAGTTTTGGAAAAAAATTTTAAACACGCAAATTTTTTACCAGGCGCCCACTCGGCGCGCATCCAGCAGTTCTTGCGCACCTACTGGCTGTTCGTCGGGCCCATCCTGTTCGCTTCGATTCTGCTGATTCCGCTTCGATTCGATGGCAAATATACTCTGGTTTCTTGTCTTTTTGCTGTTAAATCCTTCTCTTTCTAGCCGTGCCGCTGCATTTTTGCGATTCTGTGGACGATTAGCTACTGGGTGGTCAAGGTGAGAAGACGAAGCCTAAACCAAGCCCAAGCGTAAGCCTAAGACTAACCCAGACTTCAGGTTAAGCCGAAGCCTAAGTCGAAGCCTGAGCCTAAGCTAAGCCTAAGCCAAGCCTAAGCCAAGCCTAAGCCACGCCTAAGCCAATCCCAAGCAAAGCCTAGGCCGAGCCTAAGCCCAAGCCAAGCCTAAGCTAAGCCGAAGCCTAAGCCTAAGCCTAAGCCAAGCCTAAGCCAAGCCTAAGCCAGCCTAAGCCAAGCCTAAGCCAATCCCAAGCAAAGCCTAGGCAGAGCCTAAGTCAAGCCTAAGCCCAAGCCAAGCCTAAGCTAAGCCTAAGCCTAAGCCTAAGCCTAAGCCAAGCCTAAGCCAAGCCTAAGCCAGCCTAAGCCAAGCTTAAGCCAAGCCTAAGCCACGCTTAAGCCAATCCCTGGCCAAGCCAAGCCTCTTCCAGCCCGGCCCCATTGCGATGACCGCCTTCCTGCCGTTGGTGCTGATGCCCATCCTCGGGCTCGACAAGGGCAAGGACATGTCCGAGATGTACTGGAAGGTACAGTAATGGAGTTATGCCCAACTGACCTCCAATTTTTTAGGACTGTGTCATGCAGCTGTTCATCATCCTCTGCCTGAGCATCACCATCGAGGAGATCAACCTGCACAAGCGGGTCGCCTACTGGCTGCTACGCTTGGTAGGAGCAACTCTTTGGGAGCGACTACACCACTTACTTCAGTCAGGCCCAAGCCCGGCGAGCGTGCTGTACGGCTTCATGGCGACGAGCTACTACCTGGCCTACTACCTGCCCGACTACTCCGTCGTCAACCTGATGGTGCCGCTGGCGACTGCCGCCTGCAACGCGTTGGAGGCGTCCAAGGCCAAGTGGGTGTCACACTCCCTCTATAATCACACGCTTCCGGTCTAGTTCATTAGCGGGGAGGCCGCGACTCTCCTCCCCCGCTAACGCAACAGAACAGCTTTTCCGATAAGCTAATTTGTCCTGTATTTCAGGGCCCGGCAGGGAACCTTCATCACACCGGCTTTGGGCAGTATTGAGAAAGCGGGTGGCATGGATCGGTGGGTATTTCGCTACTGGGCGCTTTTGATAAATTTCTCACGTCCAAACCACTGAAAATCTACGCCTTTTTATCTCTCTCTCTCTCTCTCTCTCTCTCTCTCTCTCTCTATCCCTCGCTATCTCTATCAGTCTCAATCTCTCTAGCTCTCGCTCTCTCTCGCTCTCGCTCTCTCGCTCTCGCTCTCTCCCTCGCTATCTCTCTCAGTCTCACTCTCGCTCTCGCTCTTTCTCGCTCATCTCTCTGTCTCTTTCTCTCTCCACCTCTCTCTATTTCTCTCTCTCTCTCTCGCTCACTCTCTCTCTCCCCCTCCAACAATTTTTTCAGCAGCGACAAGGCCAGCAGCGCTGAGCCCATCTCCAAATCCTCGCGCAACAACTCGAAGTCGCAGGCTAGCGGCCGGGGTGTTGCCAATCTGCCCATCTCGGTGACGGGGGACACGTAAGACACCTTAAAGCCCAATTTTCACTATACTTTCTAGATCCCGAGACACTGCCAGTAAAGCCGAGAAGCCGACCGGATCCGGTGCTGCCAAATCCGGAAGATCAGCTGCTTCGAATAAGAGGTATCACCTTATCTACCTCATCAACCAAAATCTTTGTCTTTTTTTAGCCTCTCCGAGAAGCCGAACAGCAAGAGCGAGGCGGCCACGCAGTCTGGGTAGATGAACATTGGATTTCTTTTGTAGTAGTTTTGCTTTTTTTAAGGTCGTCGCGTCGCAAGAAGGGCGGCGCCGAGGTGGAGACGGTGATCAGCGTCGGCTCCGGCGTCCCGATCGACCCGGACGACACGGAGATCGGTAAGCCCGCTAGCCCTGATAACAGTCCAGTACCTTTAATGTCAGTCGTTTTTTCAAGGCCTCCGCAAAGCCCTGATCCTTGCCTGCGCGCACGCGGCGCTGATCGGCGGCACGGCGCTGCTCACCGCCTCCACCCCGAGCCTCATCGTCTCCAACCTCATCAACGAGTACGTGACCATTTTCTCTCTGTTCTCTCACCCTCTCTCTCCCTCACTCACACTCTCTGACTCTCTCGTTCACTCTCTCTCTCTCTCTCGCTTTCTCTCTCTCTCTCTCGGAAAATTGATAATTGTGTATTTTTCAGCGCCAGCGTTACACCACCACGAGATCCGCGTAAACCCGACGAACCTACCTTTCCGATCTTCGACCCCCTGGCGAGGATGAGCTACATGGTGTGGGCCGCGTTCGCCATGCCGCAGTCGATCCTGTTCCTCGTCGTCTCCTACCTGACCTTGGCGGTGGGAACCGGGCTTATTAGGCTGACGTTTAAGCTTAAATATAGGCTTAGGCTTTTGCCTACTTCCAAGCACAGGCCTTAATCTATTCAGGTCTACTTTCTCGGGCCCGCCGAGTTGGGAAAGTTCGCGTCTTCTTCCGGTACTCCAAGAAAAACAGGATTTTGCAAAACTGTTGACCTTTAGAAGGCGCCCAGGGTGAGGCGGAGGCGCTTACTGCATTTCTCGATGAAGCCGACGCGAAATTGGGCAACTACAGGTCTGGAAGTTTTAGCAATTTTAAAGGACCGTTGAAGCAAAATTTAGCTTAAACTTTAGTTTTGCTGAAAAGTCGATGGTCGGTTGGCTGGTGTTGGTGACGCTGGCATGGGCGACGCGCGAGGCTGGACTCGGAAATCGCAAAGGCTGGGGCCAGCTTTTTGTGAAACCGTAAGAAAAGTTTGAAGAGAGACGAGAGAGAGCGAGAGAGAGAGCGAGGGAGAGAGAGCGAGGGAGATCGAGAGGGCGAGTGGGAGCGAGAGCGGGAGAGAGAGTGAGAGAGAGAAAATGCGAGAGTGCTTCTGCACTTTGCAGTGAACTCCTCTCTGACGCGTGCGTCGGCGTGATCGTCATCTTCGCGATGACGATGTGGCCCCGGTACGGCTTTAGAGATCGTGTCGACAGCGAGAGGCCGATTCAGCGTAGGTTCGGAGGACCTGGTACGTTTGCGGGGGGGGTTCCATCTAGACCCCCGCTAACGAAACAGAGGCAGCAAGGAAGGCAATCGATCGTATTAGCGCTTTTCCAGGAAAGCCGAGCTCACACGAGAAGCTCCTCACGTGGCCGATGATCCAGAAGAAGCTGAACTGGGCGCTGTTGATCTACACCGGATGCGGCTTTGCGATTTCGGCGGCTGTCAAGGTTGGGAACCAAAATGGAGTTTGCTGTATTCAAAATTCGTGCTTTTTACGAATGTTGCGAATTTACGATAAAAAATGGATTTTTTTGACACAGAATGAGCAAAATTTCGGTTAAATGCAGTCCCCCGCCCCCAGCCAGCACCCAACGTTTGTATCTTTCCTGGTTTTTCCAGACATGCGGCCTGGCTACCCTGATCCGCCACCTGGTCCGCTACGACATCAAGGACGCCATTCCGCAAGTTGGATGTGTCGGTGGGTACTTGAGAATTCTGTTCAAAACTCGGAGACCCTTGGCGGCATTTTGATAAGTAATTTTAGCCTTGGCCATGGTGTGCATGATCCTGTTGTCCGAGCTGATCGGCAAGACCGGGTCGGCGACGGTTCTGCTGCCGATTTTTCTAGAAGTTGTAGGTTTTTCTGAAACACTTTTCCGCTAGACGCATTAATGGTCCCGATCAACAAAACTGCGCTTAAGTGAACTTGGCGAAATTGTCGCGCGATACTTTTGTGCAGGATGGTCTAGGTGTCTTCCGAGAGAACTAAACGCCTTGAACTCGTCGCGCTTTCGGGCAAATCTCAGCACCCGCTAGTCCTCGTTACCTCTTTCAGGCCCGCGGCCTCAACATCCACCCGCTGTACATGCTGCTGCCGTGCGCCATTGCCCCGTCTCTGGCCTTTGCCACCCCGTGGGGCAACGCCCCGATGGCCGTCGTCTATGAGAGCGGCGTCCTGGAGGCGGGCGAGATTGTCCTCACCGGTGCCATCGTCTCCATCGTCTGCCTCGCGCTGACGCTGCTCAATATCAACACCTGGAGCTACTGGATGCTGGCGCTGCATGAGGATATGCACTGGCGTGAGTGTAGTTTGAAGCTTGCAGTGTTTTTCTTTAAGGCCCACAATTCCATGTAGTAATCGAAAAATCCCCTACTTTTAGATCCGGAGGCGGTACCGAAAGGTGCGACTACCGTCTTGATCAGCACCACGATCTCGGTGACGAACATGACTTCGGCGGCCCCGCTCTCGTGATCTTCGGCGATCTACAGCTGCTCCGAAATCACAAGATTTTCGCACGGCCTCGCCTGACTCTACTGGACTACTCGAGCCATACCCCACCCCATTTTTTTTTGTATCGCTCCCTCTGTATTGTTTGTTTTTGTATTTTTGTCTTGGCCTCATCGCAATGACATGTCTTGTATTCCCGCGAAAGTATTCATCTCCCATGTCCCCGTGTAGTTTTTGGAATAAACGACGAAAAGGACTTGGAGACGAGCAGAAACCATGAGTTACACTACAGCACCCACCGGCTACAAACTACAGACCACAAAGGAAGATTACATCGCAAACTACAGACCACGACAGGATCCAGAAAGCAGTAGAGAACCGTGTAGACTACAAGCCACAGAGAACAACCCCAGCTAAAGGTGTCCCATAAAAAACACCCCCTCTAACTCGACGCAGAAGGATCGGATCAGAATGATGGTTGTATCCCATTCGAAAACCCTTGTAACGGCGAGTTTGCAACTATCCTCATAACCATGTTTTTATGTTAATCCGCTTTTTCACAAGCCATTTAAGAACATTTAGAAACGGCCTATGCATCCAATTAACGCTACTTCCGGTCATTTTACTTAGAGAAATTGAGGCAAAGTAGCTCGAATGCAACCACGAAAAACAGCAAATTTTTATAAAATGGCTTGTATAATGCCGCGTTTAAATAAACACATGGCTTTGGAGATTATTACAAACTCGCCGTTTCAAGGGCTTTCGAATGGTGTAACTGGCATGCCGATCCGATAATTCTGCGTCGGGTTAGAGGGGTTTTGTAGATTTTGACGTGCGTGCTATCATTTTGAATCTGGAATCTGGTTGCGAACTTCGGAAAAATGTCATCATCTCGAAAAACCCGCCCAACTCGACTACTCGGTCGCTCCGTTGGCGATGGGATGCTTTAGTAAATTTTTTATGCAAATTTTGGACCCAGTTTTCTGGATGCAAAATAGTTAGGATTTTCTAGGCTATCACAAAGCTCGGGTGGGCAAGTTCGTCACCAGCTACTGGATCGTCATCGGACCGATCTTGTTCAGCCCGCTGTTGTTCTACGGGAAGGTGAGAAGGCTACAGTCAACTTGCCCCTCCCCGCTAACAGTCCAGTACCTCTGAGATTCCTCATTTTTTCAGCCCTTCCAATGCATCTGGTGCCTGTGCCTGATCGCCAGCTACTGGATCGCCGGTGTGGGACCCCTTGGCGTGACCAGCTTCCTGCCCGTCGTCTTGTTTCCGTTTTTCGGCTGGGTCGACGCCCAGAAAGTGGTCTCCTTCTTCCTGAAGGTATTTTAGTGCCTAATACGTCAAAATATTCCCCAGGATACCTCGGTGATGCTCTTCCTGACTCTGGCGATGGGCATCGTCGTCGAGGAGGTCAACCTGCACAGGCGGATCGCGTTGAAAATGTTGTGCTGGGTGGGTGAACGTCCTGAAGTTGATGGAAAATGAACCTAGATGGGTACTCGCCCAAATCGTCTTCTGTTCGGCTTCATGTGCGTGACCTGCTTCGTGTCGTTCTTCCTGACGGATGCGGCGGCGACCGCCTTGATGTTGCCGTTCGCGTTGGCGATCTTGGAGGCGAAGGAAAGCGGGAAAATGTAGGAGAGTGAGAGAGAGAAAGAGAGAGACAGAGACAGAGCTAGAGAGAGACCGATTTCTTTGTCTTAACTCCTTGAAAACGTCGACCATTTAGGAGCGCCTCCGGCAGCACGTCGACGAACATGGGCGACGGCGGCAACAGCCGTGGCGGCAGCAAAGAGCTGTAGATGAGCAAATAAACTCAAGATTTCTTAAGTTCAGGGTGCTACCCGACAGCAGCGACAGGTCGGCCCGCCGTAGCAGCCACCAATTGAACGACAACTCGCAGAAAAGGTCGAACAAATTGCAAATTTAATTTTTTACTTTTTTAGCAATGCCCAAGTCCAGACTTCATCTCCAAAGAGGTTAGGTATCCTGAACTCCCTGAAGTCGTTGTGCTTTTTAGCGCCTCGAGGCGTGAGAAGGAACGGCAGAAGAAGAGCTCGGGCAGTGCGCGTGGCAAGAAGAAGGTTCCGAGCCCGAGGTGATCAAGAGCTCCTTTTGGTGCCGTGATCGCTTAACCACGGATATCGCACTCCAAGCTCCACTCGTTTTAGCAGCAGCTCCCAAAAAGAGGACAGCACCCAGCCGCCCCGTTCGAGCGACTCAGTGCTGCGGAAGCAGGGCGGAGCCGAGCAGAAGTCCGCCGAAAGCCACCACTTCACCACGGACGGCTCGGCAGAGCTGGTGCTCAGCCAGGCGCAGAAGGCCAAGAAGAGCCTGGGTGGGTGGCCGTATAAATGGTATTGTTGCGCTAAGCGGTTCTTGTTCCTTGGCGGGGGGAAGGAAGGGGGAAAACTAATTTTGACTTCTTTGTCCTATTTTTTGGATGTCAAAAATTAAATAATAAATTTTTATGATGCTTTTAATAGTTTTTGATTGCTAAAAAACCAGAAAAAAATTTTTAACCATTTTCTAAAATTATAAAATTTTTTCCTTGATCATTTTACCTACATTTTTGGTCCAAAAGTGTCATATTTTCGAAAATTTGAGGTTTTTATGAAACATTCTCTCTAAAAACCATCTAACTCTTTTTTATATTTAACCATAACACCTTACATAGCAAAAATCAGTTTTCCTTGCTACACCCCCCCGCTAATAGCCCAGTACCCCCAAACCCATGGCTTTACGACTTCCAGGCTTCCGCAAAGCCATGATCCTTGCCTGTGCTCATGCGTCGCTCATCGGCGGCACGGCCATCATCACCTCCACCGGCCCGAACCTCATCTTCAAGGCACAGCTCGAAAAGTTTGGCCGGCACCCGTGACTTCACTCGCCCTTCAGAAGCTCACACTCCCAAAACGGGCACCCGCCCTTCTTCCCGATCGAGCTGCACGTTTCCTACTTCGAGTGGGCCGCCATGGCGATGCCGCCCGCCTTCTTCTACCTGTGCGCCTCGTACGCAGTGCTCCTCGTGTGCTTCATGGGCTTCGGGGAGTTGCTGCTGTGGAGAAAGCCGAGTCGTGGGTTTTTGGCACGACGTCACTCCAAGTGCGGCGATCTAAACCTAAGCCTAGCCTGACCATAAGCCTAAAGCGAAGCCTAAGCCTGACCCTTAGCCTGAGCCTATGCCGAAGCCCAACCTAAGCCAAGCCTAAACCAAGCCTAGGGCAAGTCTAAGCCAAGCCTAAGCTAAGCCTAAGCTAAGCCTAAGCTAAGCCTAAGCCAAGCCTAAGCCAAGTCGAAAGCAAGCCTAAGCCAAACCTAAGCCAAGCCCAAGTCAAGCCTAAGCCAAAACTAAGCCTAACTAAACCTGAGCCTCAAACTTAACCCAAACCTAAACCAAATTCTGCGATTTTTCAGCCGACGAACAAGCACAGCAGGACAACATCGGCCGGTTGATCCGCACCTCCTACGATGACCTCGGCTCGATGACGTTCGCCGAAAAGTCGGTGATGTCGTGGTTCGGGGTGTTGGTGTTGTTGTGGGCCACTCGTGATCTCGGATTCGTGCGCGGCTGGGGTGATCTGCTCTTCGCACCCGATCACGCGTAAGTTGTACACATGCGTACAACGGGTAAACGCCATTACTTCGAAAGTCATTACTTCGAAAGTCATTACTTCGAAAAGTCATTACTTCGAAAAGTCAGTTCTTCGAAAGTCATTACTTCGAAAAGTCATTTCTTCGAAAAGTCATTTCTTTGAAAAGCCATTACTTCGAAACGTCATTACTTCGAAGACACGAAATTCATGAAACTGACGATAAAACCATTGCGTAGGTACCATATGCCTATTCTATTAAGGTTATTACTGTGACTCGTACTACTACCCTTCTACTTCGTACTAACCAACTAAAACATCGAAAAATCTGGGGGTAAAGTAAAAATTTTCCGATTTTTTTCATGCGACGTATAAAAAAACTCGTTGGAATAGACGGACCGGTAGAGGCAGAATGGTGTCAAGTAGCGTACGTGCTATGCACGTTTTTCGAAGTAATGACGTTTCGAAGTAATGACTTTTCGAGGAAATGACTTTTCGAAGAAATGACTTTTCGAAGTAATGACTTTCGAAGTAATGATTTTCGAAGTAATGATTTTCGAAGTAATGACTGGCAGCCGTTGTACGCCTAAGCCACCCCCACAAATTGCAGCAAAATGCTGACCGAGTCGGTGTCCGGCATCGTCGTGGTGTACGTGATGTTCCTGTGGCCAAAGTACGGTTTCGGGGACGAGCAGCGCAGTCGACGACCCCTCAAGGGTACGTTAAACTGTTTAAGTTATAGCTGGAATGTTTGGATAAATTGGTTTTTCCCCGGCCAAATCTTCCCTGCTAACAGCACAGTACCGACAATCTAGAACATAGAGAGAGAAAGAGAGAGAGAGAGAGAGAGAGAGAGAGAGAGAGAGAGAGAGAGAAAGAGCAAGACAAAGCCTTAATGTGCCTTTTAGCCAACGAGAACGACCGGATCCTGACGTGGCCCATCATCACCGAGAAGCTCAGCTGGTCGATCATCATCCTCGTTGGCTGCGGGTTTTGCATCTCGGAAGGTGTGACGGTAGCTTTAAGGGACGGAGACAGCACTCTATCTTGGTATTCAGGCAAGCGGCCTGTCGAAAATGGTGGAAGGTTTCGTGAGGGGAATGCACGACGTCAATCCGCTCATTGTCCAAGGCACGTTTCTCTCTCACTCTCTCTCTCTCACTCTCTCTCTCTCTCTCTCTCTCTCTCGCTTTCTCTTGCTCTTTATTTCCCTCTCACGTTCCATCTCTCTCAATCATATATTTCATTCTCAGCCATCCTCATGGCCGTCGTCGTCGCCATGACCAACTTTATGAGCAACTCCGGGACGGCTAATATTTTTGTTCCGTTGGCTATGGATGCGGTAAGATGCGGTGTAAACCTTATGATTAACGTGTTCATCTACAGGCGAAAGGCCTGAACTGGCACCCATACCGGCTTGGACTTCTCGCCGCCATCGGGCCGTCGTTGGCCTTCATGCTGCCGATGGCCACCCCGTCGAACGCGCTCGTTTATGACACCGGCTACATCTCGTTCTTCGAGCTGGTGGGCGAGAGAGAGCGAGTGAAAGAAAGAACGAGAGAAAGAGAGAGAGAGAGAAACAGAGAGAGAGAGAGAGAGAGAGAGAGAGAGAGAGAGAGAGAGAGAGAGAGAGAGAGAGAGAGAGAGAGAGAGAGAGAGAGAGAGAGAGAGAGGGAGAGGCAGCAACCACCCTCATTCCACTACTTTCTAGTTCTACACCGGCGCCCTGGTCAACGTGTTCTGCATCGCCGTCACCATCTTCAGCGTCAACACCTGGGCGTACTGGGTGCTGAACATGAAGGTCGACGTCTGGGGAATGGCCCCGACGAACGCCACGATGACGCTTTTGAACGGTTCTACAACTGCAACTCCGTACATCTCTTCATCCACCCTGGTGACCCCCTGATTGCTATGATGTACCCTGAACGCTCCCACCACGCTGCTCTCCTACTCTGACATGTACCTTGAACTTCCTTCTATTCGCCATTGTCCCATTGTTCTTGTCGTCGCTATGTGTGTCGATAGGTGTCGTGCGGATAAATGGCTTTCGAAATTGCAGGAGAGAGAGAGCGAGAGAGAGAGAGAGAGAGAGAGAGAGAGAGAGAGAGAGAGAGAGGGATATCACCAAGAGAAAGAGACCAAGCAAACTGTCAACATCAAATTTGCATCTGAAGACCGCATCTGTGGCTCACCAGCTCCAGAACGAAATGTCACACGCCTTCATCGCCTAGGCAACACAGGGCTTCTCCACGATGGGATGTTTTGGTAGCTATTTTTGCCTCTCTCCTAGCTTAGTTTTTTAGCTTACCACAAAGCCCGTATCGCCAAGTTCCTGAAGAGCTACTGGATCATCATCGGGCCGATCCTGTTCAGCCCGCTGCTGTTCTTCGGAAAGGTATGACCTGCAATTGCGGGAATTGATATGGTGCGCCGGGCCAAGGAGTCCCCTCCCGTTAACAGTCCAGTAGCCAAAAAATCCTGTTTCAGCCTCTCCAATGCGTGTGGTGCATCTGCCTGATCGCCAGCTACTGGATCGCCGGTGTGGGACCACTCGGGGTCACCTGTCTCCTCCCCGTGTTCCTGTTCCCCTTCTTCGGCTTCACCTCGGCCCAGAAGGTCGTCTCCTTCTTCTTCAAGGTAATCCGTTACTCAAACTTCATTTACATTTCATCAAGGACACCTCCGTGATGCTGTTCATCACCCTCGGCATGGGCATCGTCGTCGAGGAGGTCAACCTGCATCGGCGGATCGCGTTGAAGATGTTGTGCTGGGTAAAACGTCTTGAAGTCGGTGGAAAAGGAGCCTAGATGGGTACTCGTCCAAATCGTCTCCTGTTCGGCTTCATGTGCGTGACCTGCTTCGTGTCGTTCTTCCTCACCGACTCGGCCGCCACGGCATTGATGCTGCCGTTTGCGCTGGCGATTTTGGAGGCGAAGGAGAGCGGAAAAATGTAAGCGAGTGAGATAGGGAGACAGCGACAAGCACCCCGCTTCAACTTGATGCTCAACTCCTAGGACCACGCCGGATAGTGAAACCTCGACCCGCCCAACCCCGGAGTACCAACCCGTCCAACGACACGTCCCAAAAAAGATGCCGGCAACAAGAGTCTCTCACTGGCTAGGTACAACTCGAGCTTGACAACAACTTCAACAAGTTCAGTCAATCCGGAAAAGCGGCTGTGTCCAGCCCAGAGACGTCGTCCCGGAAGAGGTATCATTAAAGCAAGGTTAAAATTTGCGTTTTCAGCTCGAACAAGAGCCAGAAGAAGAGCAGCTCCCAGAAGCCTAGCAGTTCTAAGAAGCAGAGCAGCGCCCGCAAGCCGGGCGGGGCCGAGCAGCCGACGACGACCACCATCGAGACGAACGCGTTCGCGACGGACGCGCAAAAATCTCAGGAGCGCCTCGACAAGGCCGAGATTGTCAGGAAGAACTTGGGTATGGAGAGGGGTGGTTGAACTTCTTGGGAAAGTTGGACATGTCCGGGAAAGAATTTTTGTGCCCAAAAGAATGAAATTCCTTACGCGAAAGAATTGAACTTGTCCAGGACGCGGTTCGTCGTCTTAATGAGGCTCTTTCATTAAATAAATTTGGTGCAGCTGCCCTCCTCCAACTCGTCGCCGCCTTTTCAGGTTTCCGCAAGGCCATGATCCTGGCCTGCTCGCATGCGTCGCTCATCGGCGGCACCGCCATCATCACCTCCACCGGCCCGAACCTCATCTTCAAGGGCGAGCTCGAGACGTTCGACAATCCTTCCATTTCCGACCCCACGCCCTTTAGACGCTCCCACTCCCAGGACAACCATCCCCCCTTCTTCCCGATCGAGCTGCACGTCTCCTACTTCCAGTGGGCCGCCATGGCAATCCCGCCAGCCTTCCTGTACTTGGTCGCGTCGTACGCGGTGCTGATCGTCTGCTTCTGCGGCTGTGGGGAACTGCTGCTGTGGAGGAAGCCGGGAGGTTAGCACGGACGAGGTCCAACCTCAATCTCTTGCAGCCGAGGAGCACCGGCAGCAGCTGAACATCCGCGCCATCATCCACAACTCGTACGAGGATCTGGGGCCGATGACGTGGGCGTTAGCGGGCGTCTCGAACTCCCGAGTTCCAGGTTCGCCGAAACCTCTGTGATGTCGTGGTTCGGGGTGTTGGTGTTGCTGTGGGCCACCCGCGACCTCGGCTTCATCCCCGGCTGGGGTGACTTGATCTTTGAGCCGACGCACGCGTAAGATGGAATGTTCAGTACTTATGCCCACATCCTTAGGAAGATGATGACCGAGTCGGTAGCTGGGATTGTCGTGCTGTACGTGATGTTCCTGTGGCCGCGCTATGGGTTTGGGGATGAACAGAGGAGTAGGAGGCCGATCAATGGTACGTTGCAGAGAGACGCGAGAGAGACCGAGAGAGAGAGCGAGAGAGAGAGCGAGAGAGAGACCGAGAGAGAGCGAGAGAAAGAGCAAGAAAAAGCCTTAATGCTCTTTTTAGCCAACGAAAACGACCGTATCCTGACGTGGGCCCTAATCCAGCAGAAGCTCAGCTGGTCGATCATCATGCTCGTCGGTTGCGGCTTTTGCATCTCTGAAGCTGTTAAGGTTTGGCTAAGCCTAAAATCTTTCGACATCTTTACATCCGTTTGAACTCGCTCGTTCAGGGCAGCGGCCTTGCCAAGGAGGTCGAGCTACTGGTTCGCGGGCTGAGCGGCATCCACCCGATCATGGTGCAGTGTATGCTCTATGGGTTTGAGCCCGAACGATCCATTTTTCTTACAGTGATCCTGCTCACCGCCGTCGTCGCCATGACCGAGTTCATGAGCAACGCCGGCACGGCCAACATCTTCGTGCCGTTGTCGATGGAGGCGGTGAGGACCATCGGAAGTATCTATCATTAAAGAGATAGGGGCGGCATAAGTCAATCGATTACGCGAGGGAAAGAAAATGTCTCTGCGCCTCTCCCCTGGGCGCCCTCTCTCGCCGCGGGACCTGTTGAACCCCCCCTCCCCAAGGGGGGTTCAACAGATGCCGTCCTCATCTCTTTAATGCGTGGGTTTTTCAGGCAAAGGGCCTGAACTGGCACCCATTCCGGCTTGGACTTCCGGCCGCCATCGGACCGTCGCTGGCCTTCATGCTCCCCATGGCCACGCCCCCAAATGCGCTGGTCTACGACACGGGATATATATCGTTCTTCGAGCTGGTAGGCGAGAGAAAGAGAGAGAGAGAGAGAGAGAGAGAGAGAGAGAGCAAGAGAGTGAGAGAGGGAGAGAGGGAGAGACCGAAAGAGAGAGAGAGAGAGAAGCGAGAGAAAAAGGAGAGCTAAATTTGTAATTCAACATTGCACAAAGAAACCGATTCATTCCAGTTCTACACGGGCGGCGTGCTGAACATTTTCTGCATCGCCGTCACCATCGTCAACATGAACACGTGGGCCTACTGGCTGCTGAACATGAACGTCGACATCTGGGCAATAGCCACTTCTATGACGCCTACGAACGCGACTACGATGGCGCCTATCAACGCTACCACCACAGCCGCCCCTAGTGTCGCCCAATTCGATTTGTGATGTCTACTCGATTCTTTTTTTTCATAGCCCTGCCCCCTAAATTTTCTCGCCTATTTTTCTACTCGTAATGTACCGTTTCCTCTTCCTTTCTTTGATGTGATTTGGAATGCGTAGCTGCTAGGGAGGTCATATTTTGCGGGCGGAATAAAGTTATTCGAACTGGATGTTCCTTAGTGTGTTGTTCAAAGAGGTAAATATAGCATTTCGAGATTGTGGTATTTTCTATACTTCGCCAACCACCCCGGGTGGTACCACCCCTAGGGGTGGTTGGAGGGTGGGGCGGGGGGTGATTGGGGGGTGGTCGTGGGGGGTGGTTGGCGGGTGGTCAGAGGGGTGGTTGGGGGTGGTTGGGGGTGGTCAATGCATTAGCCACCCCACCCACTCCTTACAAAATTTTTTCTTGTTCTGGCAATAAAACTTTTTGGTTTTCGGGCTACATTGTCTTTGAGGGACCATATCTGACTCGAACAAGCTTTTAATGCCAAATCACGAAAAAATTTTGTAAGGGGTGGGGTGGGGTGGCTAATGCATTGACCACCCCCAACCACCCCCCCAACCACCCCTCTGACCACCCCCAACCACCCCCCACGACCACCCCCAACCACCCCCGCCCCACCCTCCAACCACCCCTAGGGGTGGTACCACCCGGGGTGGTTGGCGAAGTATAGTATTTTCGTAGATAGCTAGATAGAGTGCGGTACCATGAAGTATCTCGGGAATCGGAAAAAGCAAAAGGAAATTAAATAGTGAAAAGGAGTTGCAGGGTTTGTAGGAAATCCGTGTATTCCTGCAAAAAAGATGAGGGCTGGTCATACAAAAAAAATTGATGGATGTGTTTTTCTTGCGCTTCAAAAACATGACAAAGTGTCTTGCTATTTTTTCGAAAAAAGAGCTGCTAAAATTTACATAGATCTTCCAAATTTTGTACAAACAGAGCAGACAACACCTCGTCGAAAAGCGCTTTGCCGGGCGAAAAAAAATGGAAAATACAATTGTTTATAAGTTTTCTCTCCCCTGGTTCTGCAGAGCCTCATATTTGGGCTCAAAATTTACCTAGAATATGGGGCAACTTTTAAAATAATGGGTCTTCGGCAGTTTCTGAAAACCGCTTTGGAATCAGCAAAAAAACTGCATATTCGAGGCTAATGCATATTAAAACCCCCGAAGGTTTAATCGATAGCCCGAGGAGGGCGCCATTTTTGACTTTAGTGCGCCTAGGCACTGTTGAATTTGAATAGAAACCCCGATACGAAGATACTATGCTGAGCCTTGCATTCAGCATATTGAGGTTGGCGAAGCCTTGGCGATTTTGCAAAATGGGATACTGTATCACCAAATTGCTATTTGGTATCATCTCTTTCGAGCTCAAGATAGCTCTGGGGCGCCAGACAATTTCGTTGAAGAGTTTTTTTTTGGGGTTTCCCGGCAAAATTTCTGCGAATTCAGCAGCAGAGATAATTGTAAAAATATAGGATAAGCCATTCCGACGGGTTCATTGAACCTACGTGCATGATATCGTATCCCTACCGCCACGCCGGGCATTATAAAAAAAATAGGATACCCCAAAACACGGGTGGGGCATATCCGTTTCTCTCTCACTATCTCTCTCTCTCTCTCTCTCTCTCTCTCTCTCTCTCTATTTTTCGCTGGCTCTCTATATCTCTCTCTTTCACTTTCGCTCTCTCTGTTTCTCTCGCTCTCTCTCTCACTCTCACTCTCTCTCTCACTCTCACTCTCACTCTCTGTCTCTCTAGTTCTCTATCTCGCTCTTTCACTCTCGTTCTCTCTCTCTCACTCTCCACTCTATCTCTCTCTCTTTCTCTCTGGATCTCTATCTCTCTGGATCTCTATCTCTCTTTTCACTCTCGCTCTCTCGCTCTCTCTCTCAATATTATCACATTCCGTTCCGGCACACCGCGAAGAAATTTCGAACCCGTTCCTTTTTTTGTTTTCTCGCTTTCTTTTTCTTTCTTTCTCTGCTTTGCTCCTGCCATTCAAATCACGCGATTTCTCTGAATTTGATGGGGTTAGATCCGATAATTTATTGCGGTAGGCCACGTGTGTTTTTGTCAAAATCCCGGGGATCAAGGGGTCTAGTCGGACCACCCAGTCAGGCGACTAGACGCGAAAAAACGTGCCAAATGATGTGTATATAGTCAAGTGGAATGGGGTGGGGGATCGGGGTATCGTACCTGGACCGGAAACTAGAAACTAATACCATATTATGCCGCCGCTTCCGATCGACTTTGAGAAGAGGCCAAAGGCCCCCGGCTGGTGTACTTTAAGGAGGTAGCGTCGTTAATTGGTGGAATTTGCACATTCTGCGGAGGGGTGAATTTTGTAAGGAGTGGGTGGGGTGGCTAATGCATTGACCACCCCCCAACCACCCCCAACCACCCCTCTGACCACCCCCAACCACCCCCGACCACCCCCAACCACCCCCGCCCCACCCTCCAACCACCCCTAGGGGTGGTACCACCCGGGGTGGTTGGCGAAGTATAGTATTTTCGTAGATAGCTAGATAGAGTGCGGTACCATGAAGTATCTCGGGAATCGGAAAAAGCAAAAGGAAATTAAATAGTGAAAAGGAGTTGCAGGGTTTGTAGGAAATCCGTGTATTCCTGCAAAAAAGATGAGGGCTGGTCATACAAAAAAAATTGATGGATGTGTTTTTCTTGCGCTTCAAAAACATGACAAAGTGTCTTGCTATTTTTCGAAAAAAAGAGCTGCTAAAATTTACATAGATCTTCCAAATTTTGTACAAACAGAGCAGACAACACCTCGTCGAAAAGCGCTTTGCCGGGCGAAAAAAAATGGAAAATACAATTGTTTATAAGTTTTCTCTCCCCTGGTTCTGCAGAGCCTCATATTTGGGCTCAAAATTTACCTAGAATATGGGGCAACTTTTAAAATAATGGGTCTTCGGCAGTTTCTGAAAACCGCTTTGGAATCAGCAAAAAAACTGCATATTCGAGGCTAATGCATATTAAAACCCCCGAAGGTTTAATCGATAGCCCAAGGAGGGCGCCATTTTGACTTTTAGTGCGCCTAGGCACTGTTGAATTTGAATAGAAACCCCGATACGAAGATACTATGCTGAGCCTTGCATTCAGCATATTGAGGTTGGCGAAGCCTTGGCGATTTTGCAAAATGGGATACTGTATCACCAAATTGCTATTTGGTATCATCTCTTTCGAGCTCAAGATAGCTCTGGGGCGCCAGACAATTTCGTTGAAGAGTTTTTTTTGGGGTTTCCCGGCAAAATTTCTGCGAATTCAGCAGCAGAGATAATTGTAAAAATATAGGATAAGCCATTCCGACGGGTTCATTGAACCTACGTGCATGATATCGTATCCCTACCGCCACGCCGGGCATTATAAAAAAAATAGGATACCCAAAACACGGGTGGGGCATATCCGTTTCTCTCTCACTATCTCTCTCTCTCTCTCTCTCTCTCTCTCTCTATTTTTCGCTGGCTCTCTATATCTCTCTCTTTCACTTTCGCTCTCTCTGTTTCTCTCGCTCTCTCTCTCACTCTCACTCTCTCTCTCACTCTCACTCTCACTCTCTGTCTCTCTAGTTCTCTATCTCGCTCTTTCACTCTCGTTCTCTCTCTCTCACTCTCACTCTATCTCTCTCTCTTTCTCTCTGGATCTCTATCTCTCTGGATCTCTATCTCTCTTTTTCACTCTCGCTCTCTCGCTCTCTCTCTCTCTCAATATTATCACATTCCGTTCCGGCACACCGCGAAGAAATTTCGAACCCGTTCCTTTTTTTGTTTTCTCGCTTTCTTTTTCTTTCTTTCTCTGCTTTGCTCCTGCCATTCAAATCACGCGATTTCTCTGAATTTGATGGGGTTAGATCCGATAATTTATTGCGGTAGGCCACGTGTGTTTTTGTCAAAATCCCGGGGATCAAGGGGTCTAGTCGGACCACCCAGTCAGGCGACTAGACGCGAAAAAACGTGCCAAATGATGTGTATATAGTCAAGTGGAATGGGGTGGGGGATCGGGGTATCGTACCTGGACCGGAAACTAGAAACTAATACCATATTATGCCGCCGCTTCAAATCGACTTTGAGAAAGAGGCCAAAGGCCCCCGGCTGGTGTACTTTAAGGAGGTAGCGTCGTTAATTGGTGGAATTTGCACATTTTGCGGTTTGAAAGCCTTTAACCAAACATAAAACTAAACCTAAAACCAAATTTTTACCCTTGAATGAAATCGTTTTCCAAATTATCCCCCCTGAATAGCATTTGAACGATAAAACCGACTTTTCTTGACCTAAAAGATTCCAAAAAAAATTCATAGCGAAACTGTTACAGCACGAAATTTAATTTTTTTTTGAGAGAAATTTTGAAGCATGGCAAACCCTAATCAATTCTTTTCTAAACGTTTTTATGATGCAAATTAATTTTCAGATCTCCCGGAATCACTTTGAATACCAATTCGCAGGCTTGCCGCTGCAGCGAAAAATTGACGGCTTCGATTTCGAGCCGATCCAGCCGGATGGCTTCGGGTTTGACGTGGAGGACTTTAGGTGATTCAGAAAAACTACCAGAAAAATTTCTGACATTGCGGAATTAAAGTAGAAAGCGTCAAGAACTTAAATTTTAACAAAATTACATTTTTAGAAATGCAAAACACCTCTCCGTCCGTGACGATGATGTTCTTGTGCTGACCTACCCCAAAAGCGGAACCACGTGGATTCAGAATATTGTCTATCAGATTTTGCATGGGAAAACGGCAGAAAGTAAGCTAATTCGACGTTTGGGTGATTTCCTCAGAGGTTCACTGCTAGCCTGCCCCTTTTTCAGTTCAATATATGGCCTCACCGATGCTCGAATTCTTTGGGCCAGAATACGTAGAAGGGCTCGAGTCGCCGAGGATTATTAAGGTATCCGAAAAGATTACTGTAAAAAAATTGAATCTGCGCCTTTATTAAGACAAAATTTTACCTTTTTCTACTTTACTTAATTTTACAAAAACTAAAAAAGCACGTTAAACTTATAGTTTAAAAAAATATCATTTACTACGCGTAAAATTAGAAAAATCATCGATTATTCGCATTTCAAACCCTCAAAAATGACAAATCTAGTCCCATCTCCGCCCCGAAATGCTGCCAAACCTCAGTGATGCAAAAGTCATCTTCGCCGCCCGGAATCCAAAGGATTTATGCGTCAGGTAAGTAACGTAATCCTCGCATTTATCCCTCAAGCTTAGTTATTACCACCATTTCAAAAATATGAAGGCCTATGAATGTAAAGATATGGAATTTGACGACTTTTTCGAATTTTTCATGGATGGGACGACAAGTTATGGCGATTATTTTGAGTATTTGAAAAGGTAGGTGTTCTCTGGGTGTCTATCATTCTCTCTCTCTCTCTCTCTCTCTCTCTCTCTCCCTCTCATCCAATCATTTTTCAGGTTCTTCCCACTTTTATCAAACGCAAACTGGTATACCGTACTGTATGAAGATTTACTGGCCGAACCGAGGAAACATATTGAGGCGTAAGTAATCTGTTTCCTTAAAATATGCTAATTCAAATTTAGAATGGCGAAGCACCTCGGAGTCGAATTGAATTCTACTCGACTTGATGAGATCCTGAAAGCAACCAGCTTTAACGAGATGAAGACGGCTGCCAACAAATTTTTCCCGGATGAAGTTTTGTGAGTTTTAGGCCCTAACTTTTGTAGCTCTTCATTCCGGTTGAATATCATATTTTGTCTAGCCGAAACAACGAGAAAGACCCTGACAGTCCGGTGAACACCCACTTCCGGCAAGGAAAATCTGGGGATTGGCGGAATTGGTTGACGTGAGTTTCTTTTTGGCTTGTAGTATTAAGCTAGATTAAAAGAGAGAGAGAGAGAGAGAGAGAGAGAGAAGAGAGAGAGAGGGAGAGTGATAGAGAAAGAGAGAGAGAGCTTGATAGAGTCAAAGTGCTGAAGATAGCCCGTTTTTAGAAAATCCCAAAGCGAGCGTATGGATCAGAAGTGTGCGCGAGCCCTCGCAGGTACGGTAGCGGAAAATTGGTGGAAAGAAGAGATGAAATGGAAATAATTTTTTCCTCGACCATTTATGATTGAATGTAAATAAAATTATTTCGGAGGCTTTGAATGTCGCTCTTCTCTCTATTTTGCCGTTACCTATCTGTCTGTCTGTCTAACTGTTTATCTGTCTCTCTCTTGCTCTCTCTTTCTCCCGCACACTAGCTCTCTCCTTTGGATCCTCTCCAAAAATCACTTTATCACGTCGGAAAACTATACAAGCAAATCACATGCAAAAGCCAACTCCGGCATACCGGTAAGGAGATCATCGAAAAAACAATCGGACAGAAACGTATTCTAATAATAAAAAGTTTAGGGGCGGGTGGATCATTCAATGCCGTTCAGGCTCATGGCATGAGCGGATGGGGTGGGTGGCATTTGGAGCGTCGTGTTGCCGGGGGCCCGTTCAAGCCATTTGTGCTCGTCCATGTTGAACCACCAGTACGCCCACGTGTTCATGTTCAGCATCGTGGCGCCGACACAGAAGACGCTCAGCAAGCCGCCGGAGTAGACCTGGAAAGTGGGATTGGCTGCTGAACTGCTTGAACCTGTCGTTGGACCTGCTTCGTGTATTCTACAAATTACGCTGGTCGGTATCCTCTCCACCACCCTTCCTCTCCGTCGGCAGCACCACCGCCCTGCGACTCGTCGAAAGAAAACTATCAAACATAGTTCCCCATTTGATCGTACACAACATTGCCGATGTCGTTTGTCTTGCCGTTTGCTGATTGCCGCTTGCCGTCTGGTCTGTCTTGTAGCCTCAAGGGTTCTTGGTTTTGCCATGCTGTTTGTTATACTCTGCCGTTGTTTTGATCGGTGCACACAGGGCTCTTAATCCATTTTTTGGTAGCGAAATCGACAGGCCAAGATTGACACCACTCCGAAACACTCCCACCGAGCACTTACGTAGCGTTCCGTACTCCGGGCGTACGTCCAAACCGCAGCCGGCTCCGCCCTCAGTATTGTGCACGGTTTGGTAGGGAGTTGGAGTGTCAGGTACAGACCCGTGTCTATATCTACCATCCGATTCTCACACCACTTCACTGAGTACCCCTGCCCCAACACCATCTTTAGCCTCCAAAAATTTTACATTTTTTTCTCTTCCTCGTTGCCCCTCCCACCTCCCGTCCACCCATCCATTCATCCCCAAAATCCTTCCTTCCTTTAAGCCCCACATTTTCTGGGACATCTTTCCCCTATACTGTGACTCATTGCATGTGCAATGGCGCCTCGTTGCGCAAATAAATAAATAAATAAGTATATTTTTGCCCAGCTGCTCGGCCTTTTATCTTTCTCTCTCTCTCTCTCTCTCTCTCTCTCTCTCTCTGTCTCTATCTCTCTCTCTCTGTCTCTCCCTCTCTCACCATTTCCCAAAACGTAATCTCGCCCGTCTCGAAGACGAGCGCATTCGGCGGGGTGGCCATCGGCAGCATGAAGGCCAGCGACGGTCCGATGGCGGCCGGGATTCCGAGGTAGTACGGGTGCATTTTGAGACTCTGCGCCTAAACGACGACGTCAACGTGGACAGCGAGCTTTCAAGACAATTTTTAAGTTACCAACCGCCCCCAAAAACAGCGGTACAAAGATGCTGGCCGTGCTGGAGTTGCTCACGAACTCGGTGAGGACGACGACGATCAGGAGGCATATTACTAGAGCAGAAAGAAATTGGAAAAAGCATGAAAGTATACATTGAAGTAATAATGGGTCGAGGCCGCTCAGTTCTTCCTTGAGAAGGTCTTCGATCTGGGAGGAAAGGCCGCTTTCCTGAAGGATTACGGTAGATAGGGATGGGAGAGGGTAAGAGAGAGCGATAGTGAGAGAGAAAAAGAGAGAGAAAGAGAGAGAGGGAGAGAGAGAGAGAGAGAGAGAGAGAGAGAGAGAGAGAGAGAGAGAGAGGGAGAGATTAGCTTACCTTGACAGCAGTGGAGATGGCGAACCCGCAGCCGACGAGGAACAACAACGACCAAGCCAACTTGTGCTGCAGCATCGACCAGGTCAACAGCTTTTCCGGGCCTTCACCTTTAAAGAGCGACATTGAAGCAGACAGAGAGCGAGAAAGCGAGAGAGACAGAGACAGTGAGAGAGAGAGGGAGAGAGAAAAAGTGAGAAAGATACCTTTAGTCCTTGTCCTCACGTCCCACGGGTTGTACCTCGGCCAGACGAACATCAGGTAGAGCACGATGATGCCAGGTGTGGCGTCGGTCATGTAGTCGCTAGAATTGGAGCATTAATGGGAGGTTACAGGATAGCTCATCCTCCTTTATCTCTCTCTCTCTCTCTCTCTCTCTCTCTCTCTCTCTGTCTCTCTCTCTAGCTTCAACCCACTAATGATCCTCCGAAAACAGCAGCGGTCCCCAGCCGAGGTTGATGAAACCGAGGTCGCGGGTCAGCCAGGCGAGCGTCAGCGCTCCCACCCAGAACATCACCCACTTCTCGGCCCACGTCACCTTCCCCAGATTTTGGTAGGAGCCGCGGAGGACGAGGCGGATGTGCTCTTGCTCGACGCGTTCATGGCCTGAAAATTTCGCCTTAATCTAGCATTCTTTCGCGCACGCTCTCTCTCTCACTCTCTGTCTAGCAAAACACTTACGCTTAGTCTTCCTCCAAAACCCAAACAGCTCCATCGGGCCCATGAAGCAGACCTAAGGCAAGGTATCAATTTTTAAGCTTCATTAAGTGAAAATACCAGCAATACCAAGTACGATGCAATCATGTAGAGACACATGGGCGGGATGGCAAAGACGGCCCAGTCGAAGAAGGTGATCTCCATCTTGGGCAGGACACCCATGCCAACCAGGCTGAAAGCATTATAGGCAGAGAGAGACGGAAAGAGCGCGAGAAAAAGAGAGAGGGACGGATAAAAAGGGAGAGAGAGAGAGAGAGAGAGAGCTAGTTCGAGAGAGAAAGCTAATGAGAGAGATAGTGAGAGAGAAAGCGCGAGTTAGAGAAAACGACCGATCGAGGTTTCAACCCACTGCTTCAGCTGTGATTGAAAAATCAGATTCGGGCCGGTCGACGTCAGAATTGCCGTGCCACCGACGAGTGAAGCATGGGAGCACGAGAGGATCAGCGCTTTCCGGAAACCTAGATTCTGGATTCTAAAACCAGTTCGAATACAGTACCCTTGTCCTCCTCCTTGTCCTTCTCTTTTTTCGTCCCCTTCTCGACGTCTTCCGTGTTCGGGGTTTGCGTTTGTCGGGCGTTGCTGGAGAGAGCGTGACCTGGCGTTCCCGGGTCGTGCCCGCCCGTTTTTCGGCGCATCTCGGAAAGTGTCCTAAGAAAGCATTAAGGAATCAATTAGGGCAGGTAAATTTACGCGCGTTGCGTCTCGTCGAGAGTGCCCTCGCGTCGCGGCCTTGGCGTATCCCTCTTTGGACGTCCTGTGGAGCCGGAACTGAAATAACGTTTTGTAGCTTTCTCTCCATCTCTTCATTATCACTCTCTCTCTCTCTCTCTCTCGCTCTCTCTCTGGCGAAAACTTACGCTCTCTCAGAGCTCTCGCCCCCCGTGTTTTGCGGGTTCTGGCTCTTCAACCGACCCTCTTTGCGTTTTCGGCCGGAGCTAAAAATAAATAATTCTGGCTATCTCTCACTCTCTCTCTCTTTCTCTCTCTCTTTCTCTCTCTCTCTCTCTCTCTCTCTCTCTCTGTCTAATCCGCATACCTCTTATCCGTTGATCCTGAACCGCCAGACGACGCCGCTTTTGGTAGACTTTTCGCTGGTTTTGCCTGCTGGCGCTTCCGTTGGGTACTGTAGCGTAAAAACAAATTTCAAAGCATGAAAAGCGGTAGCAGTTTAGCAGAGAATACCGGAAAATTTTGAACGAAAAGGTTTAGCTTCAAACAGTTCGGCTCCCACCTAGCATCCGAAGCCGCAGAGGCCGCCGACCGTTGATGGCTCCTCCTGCGCTTGAGTCGACGGTTCCTTCGCGGCGAACTAGGGTATTGGTAAGGTTTGAATGATCTATGTAGAAACCTCTCATCAGAACCCGACGGGATGGCACTTGGGTTGCTGGGGGCGCGCTTCAGGCCTGGCTGGTCTCGGCCCTCTTCGGTGCGACTAAAAAGAATCTTACGGCGTGAGACCAATCCAAGCTTGTTGGTACCGCCCCTTTAAAGAAGCAAAAAACGAGACTTAACCCCCTTCCTACTAGGTCTCGACAATGACACAAGGCTCCAAAACAAGAAAAAAAAGTCCGCCTGTACCTCTGCTTCTCCGACGCCACCGATTTCCGGTCGTTTCGCTCGCCTCGAGGTCTACGACGCTTCAGTTTTCTGGTGTCGGACCTAAGATACAATGTGAAATGATCAAACGGGGATATTCTACGGCTTATCGTTGCTGATGATCTGATGGTCATCCTCAGGAGGTTCACTGTGCATCGAGCGGTCACCAGAGTCGTTGTGTTCGGTGGTGGGCGTGCCTCTTTTTCTAGATCCGAGTGCAAAAAATCCACACAGAATTTCGGAGAGTGGGGGCTCAGATACGGTCTAAGTGAATTAAAAATCGAACAGGGTTTAATTTAATTTAATTAAAACACCCCCCAGCCGGCACCGAACTTGTGTATCTCGGCTCCCTGTTCATATAAAAGTGCGTAAAGTATACCAAAATGTTTGTCTTGCTCTGGCGAGTATTTTGGTATGCCCTACATACCTGTAGATAAACAGGGAGCCGAGATACGGTAGGTGGGGATCGGTTGGGGGAAGGGGTAACTGCACTTAAGCCAGATTTAATAGAAATACGCTATTTGAAGGCACTACGATAATTAGCTTCCTTACGGTCTTCTCTTGTCGGGTGATGGAGCCGTTTGCTCGGGTAAGTGTGGGACCGGATGATCAGGATGATGACTGTCTTCCTGCATCTTGGCCACCTTGGACGGATCGACGAAGACGCCGCTTTGGAGGCTAAATCAGGCTGCAAATCGACTGTCAATGTGCCTTTAAAACAGCGTCAAACAGAGAAAGAGAAGGAGAGAGCGAGAGTGAGAACCAAAGAAGAGAGAGAGAGAGAGAGCGAGAGAGAGAGAGAGAGCGAGAGAGAGCGAGAGAGAAATTTCAATAATTGCCACCTCTGCTTGCCGTGCTGCTTCGCCTCAAGAACTGCATGCGCAAACGGCAACATCAGAGCGGTGGCCGCATAGTCGGTCAGGAAAAACGACATGAAGCCGGTGATCAGCATGAAGCCGAAGAGCAGACGATTCGGGCGGGTTCCGGTCTAAAAAAATCAAGGTTTGGATAGGCCAGCCATAATCATTGACAAGGCAGATCCTGATATATTAGTTCAGAACGTCATACCCAGCACAACATCTTCAGCGCTATCCGCTTGTGCAGGTTGACCTCCTCGACGACGACGCCGAGGGCGAGGGTGATGAACAGCATGACGGTGGCGTCCTAAATATGTTGGAATCAATAATTTCCTCTCCCTCTCGCTTGCTGTCTCTTGCTGTCTCTCTTTCTCTTCTTCTCTCTCTCTCCTCTCTCTCTCCCTGTCTCTTTCACTCTGTCGCCCTTTCTTTACCTTGAAGTAAGATCCAATAACCGCCTCGATTGTCATAATCCGAAAAACCGGAAATAGGAAGATGGGCAGAAGGCTGGTGACGCCGTAGTGGGCAGTCTGAACTAATTTGGATACCGCTAATTTGAACCCAAAACCTGGGTAATCCAGTAGCTGACGATTAGGCAGATGCAGAACACACACTGGAGCGCCTGACGTAAAAAAGTTAGTTTGAGGGTGAGGAGCGAGAGAGAGAGAGAGAGAGAGAGAGAGAGAGAGAGAGAGAGAGAGAGAGAGAGAGAGAGAGAGAGAGAGAGAGAGAGAGAGAGAGAGAGAGAGAGAGAGAGAGAGAGAGAGAGAGAGAGAGAGAGAGAGAGAGAGAGAGAGAGAGAGGAGAGGAGGGAGGGGGGGGGAGAGAGAGAGAGAGAGAGAGAGAGAGAGAGAGAGAGAGAGAGAGAGAGAGAGAGAGAGAGAGAGAGAGAGAGAGAGAGAGAGAGAGAGAGAGAGAGAGAGAGAGAGAGAGAGAGAGAGAGAGAGAGAGAGAGAGAGAGAGAGAGAGAGAGAGAGAGAGAGAGAGAGAGAGAGAGAGAGAGAGAGAGAGAGAGAGAGAGAGAGAGAGAGAGAGAGAGAGAGAGAGAGAGAGAGAGAGAGAGAGAGAGAGAGAGAGAGAGAGAGAGAGAGAGAGAGAGAGAGAGGAGAGAGAGAGAGAGAGAGAGAGAGAGAGAGAGAGAGAGAGAGAGAGAGAGAGAGAGAGAGAGAGAGAGAGAGAGAGAGAGAGAGAGAGAGAGAGAGAGAGAGAGAGAGAGAGAGAGAGAGAGAGAGAGAGAGAGAGAGAGAGAGAGAGAGAGAGAGAGAGAGAGAGAGAGAGAGAGAGAGAGAGAGAGAGAGAGAGAGAGAGAGAGAGAGAGAGAGAGAGAGAGAGAGAGAGAGAGAGAGAGAGAGAGAGAGAGAGAGAGAGAGAGAGAGAGAGCAGAAGAGGGCAACTACCTTCCCAAACGCGCACAGCGGACTGAACACCAGCGGCCCGATGATGACCCAGTAGGTGCCGAAGAAGGAGGTGAGCTCATTTAGGTAGGTGCCTGGAAAAAGGCCAAGAAATGAAAATTCTCAGATTCCCCTACCTAGACATCCCATTCGGGATCGGCCCCTAGTGAGTGGGATCGACAACCGAGACGAAATGAAGATGTGGCGGTTTTTTCTGCAATGCACAAATTTTCGCGGCGCGTATGCAAATTCGGTAAACAAATTTGTATGCCACTTTCTCTAGCGTGGCTTGGGGTCAAAATTGCAACATTGTGCAATCAAAAATTAAAATTTATTGTAGATCCTGTCTATCAAACTGTTCTTAGGTTTTTAGATTCAGCAATTCAAAAAGTTTGATATTTATTTCGAAACTGGGATTATCTTAATTTATTACCAATATCGGTTTCATGCGGTTTTATCTTGTCTGCATTTTTTCCACAACCATTTACACCCGACCGAAAAATTGGTAATTGCCTCCGGACTTCGCAATTCAAAAATTTATTTATCTTTAGCTTTTATCGCGCTTTGTTGTCCATTCATAAATTTTAGTAATTATTTGCGAAATTACTTGTTTTTCAATATATCGGTTTGGTGCTGATTTATTTTGTATGTATTTTTTACGTATGCATTTATATCACAAAATATTATAATTTCGTTCTTTCACGGACCTTTAATCCGAGATCCCTCCGGATCAGGCCCGTAAGAGGGGGGCCTTATGAATTAATTTTTCCAAAAAATTTTTTGGCTGCGGCGCTGTTTTTGGCTATTCTTAACACTAGATTTAGTGTTATAAACCCTCTGTTTTCAAAAATTTTGCCTGCGGCGCTGCAGTTTTAGTTCTATTAAGGAAACTTTTTTGGCGCCGCCTCCGCCCCGAAATTTCGGGTTTGTTACGGCCCTGCTCCGGATTAACGTTGTTCCAGCTCAAAGTGTTACTGCCTAGGTTCCTTGAATTGCCACCTTGGCGGTTCGTCTAATCTTGGCGAAAATGACAGCTTGAAGTTGTTCCTGTCACTGTCCCTTTAATGGATTTGTTCGCACCGATTGGGCACGATGTTGAGCGCGTTTTAATATTCTGCCCGTTCCCATTCAAAAACCACGAAAACAGGACCAACGCTGCCGATCATCGATTTCCAACAGGGCAGTTCCGTTTCTCACCTCCGCTTTTCTAGACCCAAATTTATGCATTTCCCTTGTCGATTCCTAGAAAAAAAACATGAAAATATCGACACTCTGCATTCTTGTGCTCTTCTATCTGATGTTGAGAAGGTATCTAAGGAAGCTGCACATTGACTGGGATGCCGTGGCCGATCGATCGGCCAATATTCTGCTCTACTTTATTATTTCCATGCAGTTGATATTGGCTGATGATGCCGGGCTGGAGGAGGTGGTGCTCGAAATGAGGAATGAACGGAATGAGAGAAATACGGTGGTTGTTGAAGCCGATAAAGCTTTTTGAAAAGTATGAGCTTACACGATAAACAAGTTACACTTTTTTTTATGAAACAGGACCTGGTTTTGCGATACCCTAAATATCCTTTCAAAAATAAGTTATTATGCAATTTTTTTTGCGGATTTTTAGACGTTTTTGGCACAATTCCCGTCTAGTTTTTTGGCTCCCTCTGGTTTCCTCCCTGTCTCTCTCAGTCGCTCTCTCTCGCTCTCTCTCCATCTCTGTCTCTCTCTGCCTCTCTCGCTCTCTCTTTCTCTCTCTCTCCCTGTCTCTCTAAACGTTGACCCAGTTGCTATCACCCTGGCAACACGCTAAAAGAGCGTTCGACGGCTGAATTCACCTAAAGCATGTATCATGATTTCAGTTCTGATAAGTGCGCATAGAAATTCCGCTATGCTACGTTTTTGCAACTAGGAATTAATATGATTCTTTGGATCTTATTCTTCAGCTTTATTCTCGGCTATGTTCGCCCGAAGCTGGCAAAAATCGATTGGAGCCCACATCGACGAAAATTGCAAAATTTTATCTTGTCGTTTCTGCTTTGCTGTCATATTTTGTGTGCTGATGATGCCGGTACCGACCAATTGATGATTGAGTATAATTTAATAAACGAAATTTGAAAGTGTTGAATTTTGAAATGCGTGTTTTGACACGCTAAATTTTGACCTTGTAATTTTCGACAATAAAATGTCGACAATCGAAAATTTTGCTAGCCTGACATTTAAATGAAATCAAATCATACCGAAACATTTAACAAGCTCCAAATTTCGATAAATAACAATAAGCCAATTTTTTATGGAATGGTTGAAAGAATTCTAAAAAATAATTATCGTGCCCATAGCAAAGCTTTGTAGTTCATAGTAACTCTAAATTGTGCTTTAAAAGGCCGTTTGCGAGAGACCCGAACAAAGCCTTGTCACAGTTTTTTTCGACCCCGTTTTTTTGATGCCATGTGAAAGAGCATGGTCGAATTAGTAGTGTGGTGCTATTTTAATATTTTTAAAAGTTTATTTTCTAGGTTTAAATGGGCGTTAAAGTTGAAAACCTTGAAAAATTATCTCGAGAACTACTGAACCAAATTGCTCCTAATTTTGAGACAATACCTAATTTGGGACGCTGATCATTTTTGTAATACATTGTAAAGCACCAAAATAGCCGGAACGCAGGAATACTGTGTACATAGAAAGGTTTTTCGCAATTTTCGATTTGCCGGGTCGCGCTGCCACCTAGAAATACCCTTAAAGATGCCCACTAAATTCTATGTCGAATCATGTATTTTTCAAAGGCGCGAAAGATACCTATTAAATCGAAAAATCGTTTTTAAAGACGCCGAACAGAAAAATTGCGTAGCCTCGCGGCAAGAAACACAGCTTACGTATCTAGAGACCAAAACAAAACGATTGCAAAAAAAAGAGCAAAAGAAATTGATTTCTAAAAGGGGGCTGGGATTGAACTCTGGTCGTTCGCCTGGGACCTGGCGCTTCCACTTAGTGGCTTTCATGCCCCCAGGCACCATCGCGTCTGATTCCCCCACCGAGCCCACTCGCGCAGAAACCATATTTCTTTGCTCTTTGTAATGTACTTGCCTTCCTTTAGAGTCGATTGAAACCGACGTCAAACACTTATTTTTATATTGTGGAGCCATTTTAGTTGTTTTTGTGAAATGTCCTTTTTTTCGATTTAATGGGTATCTGTCGCCACGCTGAAAATACATGATTCGACGCAGAATTTAATCTAACATCTTTTTAAGTAGTTTAGAGTGGCGACGCAAACCCATTAAACAGAAAATTGCGAAAAACCTTTAGTGTGTCACACAGTATTCCTACGTTCCGGCTATTTTGGTGCTTTACAACGTATTACAAAATGATCAGCGTCCCAAATTAGGTATTGTCTCAAATTAGAGCAATTTGGTTCAGTAGTTCGAGATAATTTTTCATGTTTCAACTTTAACGCCCATTTAAAACCTAGAAATGAACTTTTAAAATCTCAAAATAGCGCCACCCTGCCAATTCGACCATGCTCTTTCACATGGCATCAAAAAACGGGGTCGAAAAAAACTGTGACAAGGCATCATGGGGTTGTCTGAGTGATCATGGACGGCCTTTTAATTGCGTTAAACTCTATGGTACTGTACACTCTCTTCAATGATTGCTTTAACTCTGAAAGCAAATTTAAATCTCCAAAACAAAGAAAACAATAGAATAAATCTCACGTCAAATGACAAATGACTCTAAAATGATATTTTCCCTGGAGGCTCCTCTAAATATATACAAGTCAATATCATTAACAGATTTGGGCTTTGGAGCTTCTCCAAAAAAAAGGTAGAAATTAATGTCATTGAACCAAAGAAGGTGCCAGGAAATGTCATATTGGGAAAATTCGTAAAAATTAGAAAATTAATCTGCAAAATCATTGAGAATTTATACCCGTTTCGCATTAATCAATCGCTGACAGAAAAAAATATGAAGCTGCAGGGGAGCTGGGGCTCGAAAATTAGAATAGAAATCTTGACAAGACACCGATAAAGGCAATAACTGCAGTGAGGTGAAGGTCAGGCGAGTGCAAAACATCCCTTTTTCGTCCTGGAATGGGGTTGGAATTGCATAAGAATTGTTTTGTGTTTTTAAAGGGACTGGTAAGGCTAGAATCTCGCACCTGGCTGTAGTAGGATCTGCCCCTGATGAACATCTTGTCCTGCTCCCCTTAAAGTGCACCTTCAGGGAGGGGCCGTGTACTCGTCCCAACGTGTACACCCTATGGACGTAGGGACCGCACCACTGTCTGCCCGTGCCGTGGGAGGCAACTTCCTTCCTTTGCGGCGTGGGCGCCTCGCCTCGCCGGGTTGTAGCTGTGGCGGACTGGAATCCATCCGCGCCTCTCGAGCGGGGCGCCCGGGTTCGACCCCCGGCCGCGGCAAATCTTTGTTTTTTTCCAAAAAAACGTCTCTGAGCGTGCCCTTTAAAGGTATGGTGCGGTCCCGATAGTTCCGAAAAGTTGGTAGTAAGCTGGTAAATGCAAAAATTCAATCGATACGGTAGGTTACTCCGAGCCTCTCCCAGTGACTAGAAAATTTCCACGCTTTCACGGCCTTTTAAAACGTATGTTTAGCTAACAGTAGCACTGTAGATACACTTACAATCATTCCGGGGAAACAGCGCTTCTTCCGGTTTGGCCGATCTGAACGAACGTGCCGGCACTTGCTCTCCGTCGTGTTGTGCTCCGTGCTCTTCCAAATGAAGGGCACCTGAAAAGTAATTTTATGGTAAGCGGACCTATAGCTCTATTCTACAAAACCTCTATGCCTACGCTAGAAAATATAAGCAACAATTTTACTTTCAAATTTGACTTACCGGACTCGGGTAGTTGAGCGGACAATGCGCCGACTCGTAGCAGTGCATCGAGTCCTTGGTCTGCGGTGGTCCGCCTTCATGATCAGGTTGGTGTTTGGCACGCTGTGGGCTTGCATCCGGCTAAAATTACCATTAAGTCGTATCAAAATCATTAATATTAGTCTTAAGATGTCCACACACCCATTTTGGCCTACTGTAATTTTTCAGACTTACACAGCGCACTTGGTGTTGATGCACGGCTTCTCGGCTCGGCCTCCGTCGACCAGGTCTCCAGCTAAAAAAATTATTACTATTACAGTATCCCCATTAAATTAATACGACGTAATTAATAATTAAATTCTATCAAAACTTACATCTGGTTTCGTCATCAGGTTGTTGGTAGTAAAAAGGCGTCTCCTTGGTGCAAGGGAACCCATCGTGAGCCGTGTGGAACGACGCGGTGAAGGCTGAAAAATAGGATTGCAAATTTCGCGAAAAAAAACTTGGATTACTGGATTACGGTAGTTAAAGAGGTTTCTGACGATTCTTAGCAAAAAATACATCCTTAAGCAATTTGCTGGTTTTCAAGAAGATCGAACTTGAATCCGCACCTTCAGCCGTGTTGATGAACTGGTGGAAAAACGGGAACAAGGACAGTTGCTTTGCCGAGAGTAGCAACTTGTTGACGAATCTCATGAAATAGGCAATGATCGAGGTGATCGGCCTTCTCAAGGAGTATCCAGATTGAGTGACAGGTTTCGGCTTCAAGCAGGTGGCTTGGTGGTCGTAGTACATGTATCTGCAAGACACATGGATGAGGCTCTCTCTTTCTCTCACTCTGCCTCTATCTCTCTCTCTCTCTCTCTCTCTCTCTCTCTCTCTCTCTTCTCGCTCTCGCTCACTTGTCGCAAACCCACTTTTTATAAAATCCACGATGCACCAGCAGCTCCATGGCCCTTTCTGCCACTCGATTGATGTGAGCGAAGAAGACTCCAAGGTGAGATTCACCTCCACGAAGGTCCCTGAAAAATTAGGGGTATTTTGAGACATACATTTACTATCGTAAAATAAATTTTCGATTTTACGAATAAAATTCAAATTCCGGCCTGATATTGAGACCTGCAAAAAATTTTTGGAAACTTACATATAAGCGTTCTTATACGACGTAGCCGCATCGTTACTGTAGACGACGTAGCCGTGCTCATCGAGCAGTACACACCAATGTTGCCAGTCCTGGAAAGGAATGTTTCATTAATGCGCATGCCAGACGTCGAGGTATCTTTCTCCCTCTCTCTCACTCTCTCACTCTCTCTCTCTTTCTCTCTCTCTCATCCTCCACCGTAATGTGGACATCCATGATTTGTCATCGTATTCACTCAGCCAATCCATCACAAACTCGAGGCCGGCGACTCCAAGCAGGGCATCTTCCTGGAAACAGACCTTTTCAAAAATTCCTTTGCTGGCTTTCCAAAGCAGTGGGCTTAGAAAATCATAAATTTTCCAGCTAAAAAAAAGTTGGTGATGGCGCGTGGTTTGCTGGGAGCCGGTTGACAAGAATTATAGCGGTGGAATTGCGGGAATCGAATCGGGCCTATTCGGGGGAAAAACAGCATAATTAGTTTTCTTTCGAATTCGGGGAATTTTGGCGAAATTCGAGCGTTACCACAATTTCCACATTGTGCTCGTCACGGCGGAGGTCGGTCTTTAGCGGATTCGAATTTTTTGGTATTTTTTTGAAGTTTGGGAAAAATTCATAATTAATTTTCGATGGTCGTAAGCCCTTGAGACCAGCTTTAGAAGGGACTGACAAGGCAAAATTGCCAACTTCCCCTGGGCTAGGAAATCGCATTTGGTGCAAACACGGCGCTCGGATTTCCATAGCGTCATTTTTTCTGGCTTGGCGACCATTTAATTTAGGATTCAACCCTCTGAAGGGCTATTTCTACATATTAAATTCTTTAACATCTTAAAGTTCCCTAAAACTGTACATCATTCTTAGAGGCAAAATATGCCCAAAATTCTGACCTTATAAATGGCTTTGGTCGCCTGGCCTAGCAGCGTCACATTCTCCAGAATGCCGTACGCCGACTTGGTTTCTCCCATGGGGTACCAAAGTTTCGCTAAAAATTCGTAGTTAGTTTGCCCTTAAAACGGAATACAAAACAAAAATCCTCTAAAATTAAAGTAAGCAGAAGGCATGGCTTACAAGAATTGTTGATGTCAAACACGATCTTGTCCTTTTGCCGAATCGATCTCCGGAAGTAGCGGTCTTCCACCGATTTCGGTTGATTTCGGTGATGAAGTGTTGGTAGCTCCTGAAAAACGCATTTAATCGATTTTCCGTAAGAATTTCTGCTAGACCGAATAATTCCTTGTTCAACAGCTCGTTCATCTACAGCATACTGCTGGGGTTTTTTCTAATAGTAAACCATCAACTCGGTTGGCGTCACTTTTCAGAATTTCATTATTCCGCAAATAACCACTGCTGTTAGCTCACCCGTGCTCCGGAGTTGGTCCTCTACTCGAAACTTTCCCGCTCAAAGCTTCTCATCTGGCTACTAAGCCAGACGACTTGCAGAGGAGCGTCCATAAAGATATATGGGACTCACTCCTGGAATCGGACTTCGTCCTCCCGCAACTGCTTCCCCTCAGTCATCTGGATGACGTTGAACATATCGTAGTTCTTCTCGTTGTAGAGGAACGACTCGAGCGTGTAGTTGTAGTAGCGGATCAGGCCGGACTGCGTCGCGAAGAAGGTCAGGTGGATGAGATTTCCTGAAGATCACCATTTTTAAAGATGCTGAACTTGTTGAAGTCAGCGAGTTCTAAGCTGCACGGAACAACATTTAAAAACCTTTCTAAGGGCTTTATTATGAATGTCGTCTTTGTGTACTTGTGGAAATCGATGAGCTTACTCGAGCTTGTCGGGTTTCGATAAATCGCTCAAAATCACTCTCCCAATCACCGTACTCGTTCATGAAGTTGTACTGTTCCCTGCCACTGCGAGTAGATCGGGGCGGTGGCCTCAAGGTCAAGAATGAGACGGTCGACCAGGGCCTGGGCAAATGATACTGTAGTTTCGAGAAACACGTACCTGTCGCGCTCTACACAACTCGGGTAGCTTCCCGGACTTCTTCATCTGCTTCATGTAGACGACAAAGGCCTCCTCCTTGCTGATGCCGGCGTCGGTGTCGTTGAGCAGGCAATATCTCCAGTATGGATGGATATGCCAATGGCCCTCCTCGGCCCAGCTGAGCTGCACCTTGCCGTAGTCGTAGTTCTGGTTCCGGCGTGCGATTCGCGACTCGTCGCCTGCAATTTCGAATATTACGTACTGGCAAGTACCGCGGCCTCCCTTGACGTTTGCGACTGACTGTATTTAACATCTCCTTTTTGCAAATTATAATGATCGATTTTAAAGGTACTGACAAGCGCAGAAGACTATGATAAATACAAAAATTTGGGCGGTTACCTTTCGATACAGCCAACCCAAGCACGAAGTCAGAATCCTTGATGCACTCCAGTAGTAGGTGTTGGTTTGGGGTACACGCGATCCTGGAAAGAGGAACGTAACGGAATTTTCTTTTTATCTATTTCTCACGCTCTCCCTTTCTCTCTCTCTCTCTCGCCGGGTCTGTCTACTCACCACCATATCCGAGGCAAAAAGCACATCCAAGGTCGGCGGCTTCGAGTTGTCGCAGTTCAGGACGACGTTGTGCATCTGGAACCGAAAAGTTATACAACGATAAATCGGAATTCTAGGAAATAAGCACACGATAGATGTACCGGCACGATAGCCAGGCAATGAAAAACTGAAAATGACCACGGGAATTATAGTAAAGCTAAATTAAAAAAGCGGAAATTATGGCTCGCGAAAATACTTTGAAGGCTTGACCCCCCCCCCTTCCCCCCCGTCTTGAAACAGGTTTGTTTCTCTCTCTCTCTCTCTCTCTCTCTCTCTCTCTCTCTCTCTCTCTCTCTCTCTGTCTCTCACAATCTCTCGTACTCGCTGTCTCTCTATCTGTCTCGCTCTCCTCTCCCGTCGTTCTCAGTCCTTTTTTACTATGGCTTTTGTATTCCAGTCATTAAATTTAAACATCATAAAAATTGGGTTGTGACGTATCTACTCTGTTTTTTTGCATCAATCGGCGTCATAAAGCAGTGCAGCAACTCAAATCCGGAAAGCGACAGCATAACGTACTGCGTATGTGGCTTACAGGCACACGTACAGACAGCCAAACAGCCGCCTCATTCGAGGCAGCCACGAAGCAACAGAATATACCGCAGCACACGAAGCTACGATGGCCATTCCGTGACGGTGCTGGGCACGTTCTACAGTCTCCGACAGATATACCCTCACATGATGTCTGAACTGGCGTACACAGTCCGCATACGTACTGCCCTCATGGCAATGGCCGCGGGGCTCGTGGTGCGTCGGGTGGTTGGGGCGTGTCTCGTGAAAGTCGAACGCCTTCAGAATGACCGGTTTTTAAGAGTTGTTCAAGAACAAAGTCTCTTACATTAGGGGGATAAGGATGATCCATACCAAATTGGCATAAGAAAGGTAACTTATCGGAAGGAGAATTTATTTCCCTAGTAGGACGAACCCGAATTGTTTGTATCCCTACCGGAAATTTCTAGTAACATAGCGGTTATTTTTTATCGGTTCTTCATTATTTTCGCAAGCAATTTATGTTTGATTTGTAGAACCCATCCCTAAGATATAAAATATCTAAAATTAAATTGGTCAATTTCGACAATTTCTTCGAAAATCGGTATTTTTGTATTTTCGTAAAAATTCTGGACGCTTTGCGTTTAGGAATAATGAAAATGAATTATAAACATTTACTCCATTTATTTTACAAGTTGAATTCTTAGAAAAAACTTCCGTATCCCTGTAATAAGAGGGTATTCAATTCAGTAAACTTTGCGTCGAAGGTGGACGTTCGATTATGCCAGTAAAATGCGGGAGAGGGGCGGTCGGGCGGCCGGAAAATTAAACCAAAAAAAAAACCTCCTCGTTGCCCCGCTTTTAGTGCAAAAAATGTAAATATTAGGGATAGCATTAAATAAAAAAAAGATTAGCTTGAGTCGATTTCACAGCAATCTTGTTATTTTGCACCCATTATAAAGTGGTTATTAAATGACACTCGCAGTAAGCCAAACCTCGTCCTTCCGGGGTCTTTTAGTAAACTGTAGCTCGGCGGAAAAGTGAGGTGAGAAAACATATAGGCCACACTTTTTTTGGGAGCGTTTTGAGCGCGAAAAATCAAACATCAACTTTTTGGTTGATTAAAGCTGTTAACTTGTATTAGACATAAGGGATTATATACTTTAAACAATCAGAAGTTACTCACCATCCCGTTCTGGCCGACCTCCAGCTCGAGCAGCTCCATGTTGTTGTAGTTTTGCTTGTGGAGTTTAGTGCGCATGTCCTGAAAGTGGTATCCAGTTTTGGCTCGTCTCTCACTCGCTCTCTCTCTCTCTCTCTCTCTCTCTCTCTCTTTCTCTCTCTTTCTCTCTCTCGCTAAAACCTACAATTGGTCTCAGCTGCGGATGGAACATGATGAAGCCGTTGTAATCGAGCATGAAGTAGTAGCTGTTCCCCCCAATCTGAAGATGAAAAAGATTTGATCTCCTCTCTCTCTATCTCTCTCTCTCACCCTCTCACTCTCTCACTCGCTCTCTCTACGTCTCTCTTACTCTCTGACTTGCTCTCTCTCTCCCGCTCTTTGGTTCTCTCTGCACTTACCTCAGTAGGATGAGCAAGTTGGCCAAGTTCAGTCAACGGAATGTTGACAGCCGCAACGCCCATAAAGGTCTTGTTGAGCAGCACGGGGTATGACACGGTAGTGACAAACATTCGACTCCGAGCTTCCGCTTTCTTCATGTGAATCTTTCTCTTTGCCGCCATTCGGTTCATTTGGGCGAACTAAAAGGGCGTGATCAGGTTTGCATATAATACGATGCCTGATGCGCGCATTTGAACTGCTGAAAATCCATTTTGAAAATACTACTTCGAATCTTATGAAATTGATATAAACAATAGCGTGAATTAATGCGATTTCTTCCTTGATGAATCAAACGATTAAATTCGGCGCATTAACAAATCCAAGGAACATAATCACGCAAAAATTAAATTAATATTTTGACAATCTAACAAAATGGACTGTTTTCCCCATTAAAATCTTCGACTCAAATTAATCTCCGAAAGTATACTCAAAAATACTCAAGAAATTATGAAACCAGAGAAAATGATAGAATTTGGGTAAATTGTTCTTTTTGAAATGGCTGATAAATTTAAGTAGAAATGCGCTAAGATCAATGGATTGTAGATTTTTTGCTCGATCTTTTCCAGCTCTTATCAAGCTTCCCAAATGCACAAAGGGCCCTCATTTCCATGTCCACTGCGCAACTCATAAAAGCCAAATGACATGCTTCGTTTCAGGACCCATTTTGCACTGTTTTTCACAAATTTGCACATGCCACAAAGATATCCGGCCGGCCATTACGTGTTTTTTAGATTCGGGCTAGCTTCAAAAATTGGTCGGCACATTGAACAAGCCACTTTGCAGCGCAGACATAATTTTTGGCTTGGCGATCTTGGCAAAATTAAATTCATATAAAACCCATGCCGGACTGTGGTATACTGTAATTGGTGTGCCACGCTTACCCACGAGGCGCGGCTGGCCTTTTGGTTTTTCGCCTGGTTCTTCAGGTAAGGGGGGATATACGGAAACGCTGGAATTTGGCACTTACCGACTGGTTGGTGAGCGGCGCCGGGTCGGCGAAGCGTTCGCGGCGCGGTAGGTACTGGAAAATGGCTTTGGTTTTTGAATATAAATTGTTTTTAAACTCGAGGAAGTGGAAGTGAAAGAGAAAAAAAAGAAAGGGAGAAGAAAAAAAAAAGAGAGGGCGAAAGGTGAGGAGCGACAGAAGAGAGACATAAAGGCCCAGAGCGCGACAGAGAAAGGACAAAGAGAAAGAGTGAGGCCACCAGAGAGCGAGAGAAAGAGAGAGAGAGAGAGAGAGAAAGAGAGAGAGAGAGAGAGAGAGAGAGAGAGAGAGAGAGAGAGAGAGAGAGAGAGAGAGAGGGCGAGAGAGAAACAGATGGAGAGGACAGGAACCTTTTAACCCACCAATCTCTCTCGGTACACACCGCTCCAAACTTGGCTCTTCTCGTCGATGTCCTTGTCGTGGGCTCCCAAAGGTCGGCTCATGACGCGGATGTAGTTCTGAAAACCGGATTGTTTTTATTTGCTCTCTGATTTTGCCACACTATTGGCAAACCTGCTTCATTCTTGGAAGCTGCTAGCGTCTAGCGTAACGTTCCGTACCTGGATCTTCTCCTCGACATCGGCCATATTCTGGATGTGGACCATGTAGCCGCGGTTCTGGCAGGCCATATTCCTGACCTGCTCGAAGTCGATGGCTTCTTCGCCAATCAGGAAGGTGAAGACACGGATCTACAGGGAACGGTAGTTTGAGAGAGAGAGACGAGAGAGAGAGAGAGAGAGGAGAGAGAGAGAGAGGGAGCTCACCTCTCCCTTCGGATTGTAACGCTGGAAGATCTCATGGTAATCTTCTGGTGCTCCGTCAGTGATCAGCGCCAACACACTTTCACATCCGTATTCTGATGTGATCCCCTCGGTGTTGCCCAGCTAAAAACCCTAGTTGGTCTAGAAAATTTTATTAAACTTTTTGAAATTTGTAGGAGTGTTGGGAATGGAGTAGGCAATCCATGTTTCAAATGAAATTACGCAAAAAGAGCTCTCAAAAAAATTAAGTATGTTGCTTTCGATCGATCTGTTGCTTTTCTGGATGCTTTTTATGAATTTCTACGTTTTGATGAATTGCCGCCTTCTCCATCCCTTAACTTCACTGTTTTTCTCTCAAAAAACAAATGAAAATCCAATTTTAAAACACGAAACGACACCTCGATAGGGACAGGGTACATACGAAAGGGGGAGAAACAAGGGTTACTAGTTTATACTTGTAGTTGAATCAAAATAATAGGTAAGGTCACATTGAGAAGCTACAAAGTTCATGCAAGCCATGCCACATGCAAATTAGGGCGCGTCGAGTTGGAGGAGTGGCAGGAGGAGATTACGGTAGTTCGTTGAAGCATCCGGGCATTGATTTTTCTTACAGTAAGCGGAGAAGCCGTGCTTGCGCCGGGGAGGAGCTGTTTGTTTTTGAGGGGTGTACGGAATAAGTTATCGAATTTCAAGGTTCATTGGAATACTAAAATGCCTAATTCCAAGCCTAAGCTTAAGCCAAGCTTGAGCCAGGCCTAAATCTAAGTCTAAGCTAAGCCTGAGCATAAGCATAAGCCAAAGCCAAGCCCAAACTTAAACCTAAGCCGTAGCGAAGCCGTCTAAGCCTTTACACCTTAAATATTTAAAACGTTGTTTGTATTGTTAAACGATATCTTTCAACCACCGTACACCCCCAAATCCTCAAAAAAGCTCCAAAACCTCCCCAAAAGCAAAGAGTTTCGTCACGGGACCACGATACGCCATCGGAAATTCAGAAGCCAAAACCCAAAATTGCAACCAAAAATACGCTTTAGCCAAGCGCGGGGCCAACAGCCACCCACAGCCTTCATGTACTCGTCGGTGACGATCAGGAGACGCTCGGGGAACTCGATGGTGTGCTTGCCTTCGAGGGTGAAGTTCCGGCCGCTCTGCTCGACCTCGTCCTTGTGCATCCACTCAATATCTCTGGGAAGCTGAAAGCGGGGCGGGTGGCGATTTGATTTTGGGGGCGGGACTCGAACCCGGGCTCTGCGCTTGGTGGGCCGGATCTTGCCGACTGCGCCATAGTGCCCTAGTTAATATTGTGAGCTAAACATTTAGTTATGGGTATCATTAGACTCGGAATTTTGAGCTTAATCTGAAGCTGCTAACGCGAAAGCTCGAATTTGTTATATTAGCTCAAAAAAAAAATGAAATCTTATGGTTTTGGAGTTATTGCTAGTATTTAGTTTATTTGATCAAATGGTAAGTAATCCTCGCAGTTTTAATATGTAAGGAGGCACTCGAATTAACCAATGAGATAATTAATAATTTTGACAATAAAATTTAGTAGCATAATTTTTTTGATTAGCAACCCACGAAATTTTTCGAGTTTTGGACGCAAAGCTTGGACAAAGCGACACGGGACAATTTTAGCAACATAGATTTGAAGCATTTTGAAGCGGCTTAAGCATCTTGTAAGCAACATTGAACCAAACAAAGGGTTTTTGCGGCTGGCAAGCTAGCTGCAACGCGTAAGCTACAGTCATCGATGAACCATTGACAGAAAGCCGTGATTCTTGTTTTTTTCGTTGCTAAATATATACGGGTAGACTACAGACTCTGAATTTTCAAATGAAAATACCCCTTTCAGCGTGGCGAACGCTTTTTCGATGGCCGCATCGTATTCAGCTTTTCCCTCGGAGGTGATGTTGTTCATTAGTGCGCGGAGGTATCTAAAGGCATTTTAGAACCGAGAAAACGTTTAAAAATACCATAATCTGTTGTTCTTTCTCAACAAATTAAAAACGAATTTAGATTCTTTTAGATACAAACTCTTTAAATCTCAGATCAAAATCGTCTTTGGAAAAAGTACTTTTTATTCCTCATCGTCGCTTGTAGCATGGGGTGCTGTTTCGAGCATTCTTCATCCAAGAATTGCGGGTTTGCAGCAAACTGAAAAGATACTTTAAATTCTTGATAACATCTCTCAGGTTAATCCAATTTTTAATGTATTAGCAGCTCTAAACGTTGATTTTCCGTAATGTGCAATATATTGTATTTCACTTGGCTTAACTTGATTTTTTTAATTTTCCGGAAAGTTTCATGCCCTAATTCGGTCGCCATGCCCTTCATCTGCCCCGTCAATCTGCTCTCTCCCCACAACGCCCTTTTGGTATAGGCCCCTCCCCGCGACCCGCACCCATCGGTCTCGTGGTGTAGTGGTTATCACATCTGTCTAACACACAGAAGGTCGGCGGTTCGATCCCGCCCGAGATCATTTTGCTTTTGGAACTTTTTGCTTTTTTGCCAATTTGATAGTAGACTATGGGGGATACATCCATTGACTCAAAAATTGTGCTTGCTCTGCTACAAACCACAAAAACTCGTATTCAAAGCTGAGCTAGAGAAAAATTGATAGTTCCGACTTACCGGCAAAATATTGAAGTAATCATTGTGGGACAAGGTCTCCAAGATGGCTTCGGTGGTTTGTTTGGCAATTTCATACCTGAAAATAGGTGGTTAACAAAATTAAATTTGAGACTCAAAGAAACCTAACTTAGAAAAACGAGAAAAACAGACCGTTGCCCCAGCATCGAGCCGCTCATGTCGAGCATGATCAGCACATTTTTTGAACAAGTCGCACCGTTGATATACCTGAAAGCGGATCAATACGTATTTATTAAGCTCGGAGTCTAACTTAAAAATAATAGAAAGGTCAAGCTCCTTTATATCGGGCTGAAGAAAAATGAGATCGATCCTTAGAAACAAAAGCCGCTTGAAATGAGACAAACCGAAAAATTAAATTTAACAATTCAGATAAATTCAGGCCGTGAAGTCCCGCCTTACAAGACCATATAACACATAAAGCATACCATTCACTGTTCCGGCAGTCGAACAAGTCCAAGACGTCTCGATCGGTCTCGTGATCCCAGTACCAGGGAGCGGCTAAAAAAAATAGGAAATTGACGTGTTTTAAATTATTTCGGATATTTTAGAAACTACCTGGAGACGTAGAAATAAAGCACTAACCAGGAAAATATCGCATAAATCCAGATTCCGAGCAGAAGAGCTGGAAAGCCAAGTCTCGGGTTCCCTCCCGATTGCTGCGGTACACCTGATCGATGTCGGACCAGTGGATCTTGTTGAGGAGTTCAGGGTCTGAAACACGGGTCAGTGTTAAGGTAACTAATATGCTATGCGCAAATCCCGAATCGGGCAAGCTAGCCTGAAGCCTTGAGGATGATTTTGCATTTCGACGCCAAAAATAAGCAAAATTCATATATTGTTGGCAATTTCGCTTTGTAAAAAATGGTGGGAAGCTGGCAAGAGTTTTTGAGGACGATTTCTAGGTCAAAATACACAAAATAAGAATCAAATTACGCCAATATTTAAATCGGCGACCATCCATCGAACACCGGAATTTTCAAAAAAACTACTTTGTCGAAAACCAGAATTTCGAAAAATTCTTTTCAAAACCTTTTTCCTATTTTCTATTGGTAGCCAGAAGCGAGTTTTTAAAATTTGAGTTTGGAAAA